TAAAAAGGAAGATTGCTTCGGTGTTAGTGCTAATGGTCAGTGCCGTTTAAAATCAGGTCTCCAGTTACTATGGCGACAGGGCTATTACAGACTGACATTTAACCACCGTCTTTTCTGTTTTTTGAGTGGGTGGTTTACTCTTAAAAGTTCTATCCGTTTTGTACTTGAACCAACTCTTCCCCAGCGCTCACTCACTGTATGCTAATCTCTAAGCTGGTACAAAATAAAGCACATTTCAGTCAGGCAGAAGTGCAGTAATGCATAATAAGATACGATATATTGAAAAGACAGGAATTTATGAATGAGAATCTCCCGTCTCATGTGCATTTCTGTTGTGATCAACTCTTATGGCGGAGTCAGTCACGACCTTGCTGAGCTTGCTTGTTCCTAAATGTATTTTCGCTTCATCACTTTCTAAAAGGGCCGTGTCGTCGACGTGTGCAACTTTTTTAGTCTCAGATTTAACATTATGCAGCTAAACTTGGCTGTTCTCATAATGAGTGAGTAGGCTTTGGATCATAAAGTTCGTAATGAGAAGGCCCCTAGGCTTCTTTGAAAAGTACCCAATATCGTAGGTTATACTCATAAAGAAAAAATGCAAATTAAACTTGGTCTGAGTAGTGTGCCAATAGCGAGCCAGATTAAAGGGAAAATTACACTTTTCATTAAGTTTGTTTCCACAGTTATTTGAACATTGTATTCACTTCTATCAAATACTGAGATCTGGGCGTACCCTAAATCACCAGTTTCAACATTTGTCTTACATTTTTAGAAATCAAATCATAAAATAATTGCACTGTTACACCTTTGGAACATTACTTCATTAGTCTTTGCAGAGCTACTTCCAGGATCAACTTCTACCATGTTTCGGAGCATACCGTTTTTCTGTAAACTGCCTGATGTTCTGACTGCTCACTTTGCTTGACCTTATGGTGGAATAATGTCTTTGTGTCTCCTGATCTCAGCAAGTGTAATTTGCTGTGTAAGCTGTTCTTGGGAAAAAAGCCCCACTGTTTGTCATATTCACTAACACAATTATTGACACTATTCATGACAAATTTGCATGGCAACACACATACAACCTTGCTAATGAAGCTGCCATGTACAGTATGAGGGACATGAAGGGAAGAACAATCGTTTGTTTTATTCTGCTGCTGTTTCTCCTCACCCTCTTCCTGTTCGTCTTCCCCGCCTCTCCCACCTCCCTTCTACTCTTTGCAATGAGCTTCAGTTTTACAATCACTCTTGGGGATGAGGGCAGCTGACCAAAGCGCGTGCTTGCACCAGGAATGCATGCCGGTGTCAGTGTGGGAACTCATCTGTGCGTGAGCGTGATGTGTGAGCATGTCACGGTGAAGCTACTGAGGGGGAGAGCGGAGTGTGGGGCCGAGGGGGAGGGGAGGAGAGATGGGTGGAGGAAGGGAGGAACGGGTGGTGACTGTTTAACATGATCATTGAGCAGCCATGTTCCCTTCCCCCAGTCTCAATCCATCCCCTCCACTTCTCCCTTCTCCCCTTTATCTCCACCACAGCAGATCTATCATGACTCGCCTCCCTGTTGAGCATTTTCAAGGTAATCAAGCTGATATGTGAGTACACTTTAAATGCCCAGGAAATAAAAGGCAGTGGACATGCTGCCATTGTAATTGCATTCACTCTTAGGTGGTTCTGCCAGTTGTTAAACCCTCCCTCCTCCTTGTCTTCTACTTCCCCTGCTGCCTATTTTACAAGCCCTCTTCTTCGTCTTCTTTCATCACCCATCTGTCTTTGAAATGTGGTTTCTTCCATCCTACTCATCTGCTTGTCCTTCAACTCCCTCTCCCTCTCTCTCTCTCCTCCTCCTCCTCCTCCTCGTCTCCCTCCTGCTGTAATGGCTGAGAGGCTGATAGACCAGCAGCAGCAGCAGCAACCAGACCAGAAACACACAGTCACTCATGGCCACGCTCAGAGGGGGGGCTTCAGAGTGTGTGTTTGTGAGTGTGTGTGTTTGTGTGTGTGAGCATGCAGGAGTATGACTGATCTCCCAGGGGGCCGAGGTTGTTACGAGGGTCACTGAGGAAGTCGCCATGGGAACATAAGCCCTGCCTTGTCTTTCATTGTTATGGCCCTCAAAGAGCACAGTATGTGTCTCAATTTATTTTTTCTTCGCAGTACACAACATGAGTTTAGTCCCAGTTGTCATTCCTATACTAGCATTCAGTTATTCCGCCTATAAATATATTATATTTCAGAACATACAAAACATTATATGATTTCATTAAATACACAGAATACATAATCTCACATGAACATGGATCTAAATCATCCACCACATCCCACCTAAATACACACTGAAAGAGGACCTTACTAGGTAGTATTCAACATTTTAATTAACTAAAAAAATTATATAGAATATAAATGAATATAATATAAAATTAAGAGAGGCAATCTAAACAATCCTGGCTAATTCAGAAAAATAATGCGGATGAAAACATTTTTTTCAAATGCATCTGATATAGGCGTTGGCAGGGTGTGCATATAGGTCAAATAGGGTTGCCAAATCTTTCTGAAAGTACATTCAGCATATATCTATGGGGTGATGGAAAACCAGATTTCCAAACCACCGCTATCCAGTGCTTTGTCTATAAACCTTTATGTTTAGTTTTTCAAGTTTAATAGATGGTTGTAAGATTCCCTTACAATCAAAATTGGCTTTAACACATATTTAACTTCCTGTATGTGTATAGTGTACTATTTCAATACCTGCGTTTGATAACATTTTTTACCATTAGCTCAGGCATTTACAATATAATATGATATTGAGTGCTTAAAACCAGTCACTGTGGTGCTAATACAAAGGCAGCATTGACGTGATTTGGAAAAATATCAGCACCAACATCATAACATAATTCATGGTAGCTCAGTGAGTCATACAGCAGAGGAGTCACAGGTATCAATCTGAGTAAGTGTGCAACCTTCAACTCTCTTTGCCCCCGGGAAATTAAAGGAAAAACCTACAGTAACCATCTTAGTTACATGTGGGAACACCACCTCAGAGCCTCTCTGTTACTGTAGCACCAACACATTTTCCTTCATTTGGTGTTTTGATGATAAAGCTGGAGAGCACTGAGATATGGCGATTGGGAAAGCAAAAGCATATTGGTTTCTATCCTAATCATATGCTCAGTGACCATTCGTGCCCTGTGTGGAGGCATATTGTTTCCTGGAGTTATTTATTCAGGTTTATTCTTGAAATGTACTGCACTCTTCTTAAACGTTTCAATGAATGAGAAGGAGGTAAGTATTTAGGGAGATTAGCTAAGGTAAACAGAAATGTGGGAATCAATAACTCCAAATCACATCTGCCAATACACAAGCAGAGAAGAAAATAATGAAGAGTATTCATCCTCTGGTAAACAGAATATTGCCTGAACTTTGGACTGAAACAGTACATTAGCGTTTTGATACTCCAACAGCTAATGAGGCTGTATTATATAGTGAGGTTATTTTCAAAGAAGTTACTTTCTGGGCAGCATGAAATAGTGGGTTTTAGTAAATACATTAGAGGTCTTAATTACAAGTTTCAACACAATAGACTATTATACAGATCTGATTATATAGACAACAGTATGATATCCGATGATATAAAGTCTGCAACGATGCAATTTCTATTTGATTCAACTCAGGGGCCTGAGATCAATATAAGACTATATCATGTGCCCATTCAATTCATCTATTGACAAAAAGAAAACAAAATGTAATTCGCTGGGCTCTTTCAGACTTGGGTTGAAACCCTCTTTTTATTTGAATTAAAATAGAATGATCTCTTTTGCCAATAAAATGCCCTCGTTCTCATGTAACCTGTTTGAATGTGTGCGAAGGAGATGCGCTTGGCTGGAAACCATGACATAGATGTGCTATGGGAATTTCACAATAAAGGCGTTTGTTAAAGATAATGATATGTATTGATATTTTGCATTGATACTATTGGATGATTGATCATTAAATCAGTGCATCGATCCATGTCAATGTATAGTTACACCCCTAAAATACTTAGCAAGTTATCCCCAAGAATATGATGGTTCATTCCTTCACCATAAGAGAAGAAGGGTTATTGTTAAAAAATAACCCCAATTGCCTTTAAGACAAGCATCTGGGGCCCAACATTCTTCTCCCCTTGTGTTCCACCAAAATTATATTCTTACAAAATATCTAAACACTCCATAAGCTTAGATTTCACCATCCCAGCTACACAGTTAAGCTGGTTAGCTATGACTTCATCCAGCACAGTGTTTTCCGAAACACAGCGTAGGCGGTTGGTTGCATTTGCATCCATTTGCCTGAAATATTTTCAGCATTTTAACTGAATTCAGTGGACTGCTTTCGTGTTGCACTGCTTTAATGCTGCTTGAGATGCATTTCCACCCTGCCTAAAAATATCTGAAGCGAACAGTTTGGATGTGACCATGGCTAACAGTTGGTGACAGTAGCAGTGGCTCACGAGCCATGCTGTTTTGTCAGCATGTGGTGAGCCGGCCAGCCAGCAAGTCGGTCATACAAAAGAATCACTGAACCTCTCCCTTTGCCTTTACCCTCTCTCATCTATCCCTCTGTTTATATATATCTGTAATATATATCCACAGCTGTACCATGATTCAGTTTAAGCTGCTGAAAACACACTCTGCTATTTGTTGTACTTAGAGGGGGGTATATGGACCATACTGAATTAGAAATGTTGTGGTTTGAATAAGAAAAGCTACCCATCCTGCTAGAAGACAAGTGTGGATCTGTCCATGGTGCTGAAATTAGAAAGTGATGAAGCACTCTGCTTCCCCTCTCCATCCATCTATCCATCTATCTCATCTCCTTTCCAAACAAACTACTAAATGGCATGCATGACTCAACAAGAAGATGTATCCGGTTTGCTATAAAACCAATGTTAAATCCAACATAGGAAAGAGTGTATGGAGAATAAAAGAACATCTTATTTACTTATACTGTAGGATGAGGAGGACTCTTACCTGCAGAGATAAGAGGAATTCACCGGGTCACATCTAGGGTAGTGGTGGCTCCCTGGAGCTCAGGTCGCGACCTCTGCTGGTTGTAGATTGTGTCGACCTCAGTCACTGAATAGTGAAACCAATAGCAAAAAAAGCCCAAATGTCAGCAAAGTAATCAGCAAAACGCTGAAGTGCCACTAAGTCAATCGACTTTAGTCCAACAAAAAACCGGTTGGCTGCTCCTGTGTAGTTGCTAGTTTAAAAAAAAGGTAAAATAGTATGTGTCCTTATTCTTTGCTGTCGGACTACTTTTCCACACCAGTCCTTTCATTCGCATGCAAAACGTTTTCTGTCCAATTCCAAACTCGCAGAAAGACACCCGAAAAGCACTCCAAAGATGAGGGAAAAAACGCTCCAATAGTAATTACAATGCCCCCGGAAAGACGCGTCAGCCACACACCACTGCTTGTCTGGAGTTGTTTGAACAGGAGAGACCGCTTCACCAACGCTGCTCTCAGATAAAGCACTCCTACGCAAACATCATCATCAGCCTCAGCAGCATGTATGTTGGAGGAGGAGACGAGGTGATAGAAAATCTCGACATCTCCATTTCAACCACCAGTTTCCCACCGTCCGAGGAGGTCGAGGTCAGATTTTTGATGAAGCGCTTCCACACAAATCGACGCGGAGCTTTTTCCCCTTATAAATCTATTTATCTATCTCCTCCCCTTCTCATGTGTGTTTGTCTCTTTGCGCCGCATGTTTGGCGAAAAACTAGCCAGCTGCTCGCCTCTCGGGCTAAGTGTCCCAGAGAATACCGGCTGCTGTATATTTACATGCACTGTTCCTGGATTTCCGCATATATTTGCTGATTCCTGCAGAGAGAGGTCCGGCGCTGCGCGGAGACGAGTCAAATGAATTCAGAGGTGTCTCTTTACTGCCTGCAGACCCAGTGAGTGAATGCAGCCTGGAGTGTGCAGCCTGAGAGATGGCGCTTTAGTCACAGATTGGCGGTGGGTGCTATAGAGAGAAGAGACAACAGAGAGGGAGGGGAGGGGGACAAGATGCTTGATGAAGTCCCTTCTGACTTCCAAGCAGAAGTCTGTCAGCTGTGTGCCTTTTTGTGGGACTTCAAGGGATGCAAGGTTGCTGAAATTGTAGACATTTTAATTAGGCTACACATGGTCTTACAAACTCCTCAAAAGTCACCATGACAAGTGTGGAGAAATAACAGAAAAATGCAAGAACAAGTGCATGTCCTCAGACACGTTGGTGGAGCCTGCGACTTAAGATTTTTTAACTATAATGTAGCTATGTACGTATAACAAATAAAAGCCTTGAACCTTGAACCTCGAACCTTGAACAAACTCTCCAAATGTACAACCAGCACACAGCCCACTGTATAAATCAGAGTTCTTCACACTGGAAACCAGAATGCAGAGAAGATTCATTAAGCTTCCCACTTACAGTTGCAGCAGTTAATCACCCAAGCCACATGAGACCAACACTATAACGATAATTAAACTATTACACCTGTCCTCTGCCAAAGGTTCAACCAAGGTGGAAAAACAAATTGTCCCTCTGTCTGGAACAAAACGTCCATTAAAGTCCATTAGGACCACAGACATATTCGTCCCTTTGAAAGATAATTTTGTCCCTCTGTCTTTTGTCATTTCACTCTGTTGATCTGTTTGAGGACATGTCAGGAAGTCCATCAGTAGATGAGATTGTTTTCTACTTTTAAGTCCCTTTCATGTGATCCATGAGACACTCTCTGTGCCACAGTATTCCCATCTTGTCAACTTCTAAACGCCACTGTTGTACCACTTCTTTTTCTTTCGTTATTCATCTGTCTTTTTTCTCCTCTTTGACTCTTCACTCATCGTCTCCTCTAATTACTCATCCAGCCCTACAACGTCTAGCCTCTCACATTCAGGTCAGACGAGGGGCAGTTTGAGGCAACGTTAAGAGTAGCAGTGTGAGTTTTTATTGCATTCATTATTCAAACAGGCAGAAGTGGAGATTAGTGCACTTTGAGAGTGTGCCGCGTTGAAATATTTATATTGGGAGAGATTGAGATGGTTGCATTTGTCATGTTGAGGGGAGTTCAGCTTTTATCCATTCCACTCTCTCTCCTTTTGTGTGTGTGTGTGTGTGTGTGTGTGTGTGTGTGTGTGTGTGTGTGTGTGTGTGTGTGTGTGTGTGTGTGTGTGTGTGTGTGTGTGTGTGTGTGTGTGTGTGTGTGTGTGTGTGTGTGCATTTGTGCATGCATGCATACAAGGTGAGGTGTATCAGAGTGGCTAAGAGGCATCTCGACCTATAAGAGTCAATTGCAGAATTGAAATAAAGCTTTCTTTACTATATCAATGAAGCGGAGTGTACAATAGATAATTGCTTTAACCACTGCAATTAAGGACAATCTTTTAGTCAAAGCTTGTTTACCAAACAGGCAAAGTGGGCAACCGCCTTGGGGCCCCAGACCCTTATGGGCCGCAGATGTCCCGGGTTAACTACACGGATGTCAATTGGTTTTGGTGGTTTGCAAACTTGTAAGTTATTGGCACCAGTAAAAGTGAAAAAACAATATGGATCTTTAAACATGACGTGACATAATATATATTGTGTAGAAAAGTCACATTTATATCTATGCTCAGTTCTATACACTCAGGTTTGAACCTTCTTGATCTTTAGCTTATGGGGACTTACATTAGCTTATGTTATCAAACTTTACTTTTATACATCTGTGTTATGTGATAACTTTATGACTCTACTACTTGTATTTAGATTTTTCTGTGGTTACCGCCTGTGGCCACAAGGGTTGCTGCTCAGCAAATTCTACATTGGCTTTAACTTAGACAGATGTTGTGGCAAGGTGGCACAATGTTGCAAGTTTAAGACCTTTCACTATAACAGCCATATAGTGAATACTCCAAATAAAGTTGGTTTTAATTGAATTCCTGCAAACTATTACTGGGTCAGGTTCTGTTGGTATCTTCATCTCTTGGCAAACGATGATAAAGTGCTTGGGTAGTTTGAGAATTTATCCGAAAATAGTTGCAACTGTAGTTTCTGTAGTTTATTTGTATACTGCTTTAAATTAAAAAGTGTTACTTGATTTTATCAAATGTCTGTATTAATAAATGGGCAATTTACAGTATTTAGCAAACCTGATAAAAGAACAACACTATAAATTAATACAAAATATCCAAGGGCTTTCAAATCATTGTGAATACATTAATAAGCTCTCTGATGCCGTCTCTGTTGTAGGACTATTCAATAGTATTGCTTTATGTAATACATTTAATATAATTCAATCAGAGAATACATGCAATACAAACTATGCATAATACAAAAAACATGTTCATAAGTTATGGATCATTTGTCAGTGAGATTCCTAATTTTTTTTGGCATCTGTGTGCCCATGCATAAGCCTCTCCTAAACTGACAGCAAAGCATCATGGGAAAGTTGTAGGGGCAATGTCTGGATTGTTCTAGGCAGGGAAATGTCAGATAGCCCCCCAGGCACCCACACACAAACACACACAATGCCATGATTACCCAAAGGGACCATCATTCTCTCCCTAAATCTGTTCTTCCCCACCCATCCCCCACTCTGTCCCTCTCTTTTTCTGTCGTTCCATCCAGATCACAGCCGACTTTACGGCGTTTAGGTTTGCTGACACCTCAGTAATGGCAGCAGTAAGGTAAGTGTGCATGTAAGAGAAATGAGAAGGCAGGAAGAAAGTGAGAAGGTGATCACCAGTAATGGAGCAGTGTGACAGAGGAGAGGTAAGTGAGGTGGTGTAAAAGATGAAAAGAAAGAGAAAGACACATGGAGAAAGGGAAGATTATTTAGCCTCATGTGAAGCCACAGACACACACATCTCTTTTTGGCCTGTGGGCCTGATGGGCTTTATTATATTAACCAACACAATACCAGTCTGTGCCTTTATCTTTTGTCCTCTCCGTTTAGTTTTGCTCAGAAGTAAACCTTTCCCTTTATGAGCCTCTTCTGGAAAATAAATGCAATGGTTTGACGTCATGAGCAAATGTAATGTGCATTTGCATTTACCCTACAGCACTTTTGATGACGAGCTTGCCCTGAAATTCAAAGGAATTTTAAATGTAGTGAATCATCCCTACATGAAAGCAGTGGACAGAGATGTGACTAGGTAGCAGCCATCTTCTGTAAACTGTCCATCCATCCTGTACTTATCCCTATTGCTATTAAGAGTGATAACACCAGGCTGAAAAGCAGAGCTTCATTGCCCTCTGTGGCTGTGAGCCTGTTTCACTTGGGTGTGGTCAGGTGGGGGGTTTGTTACACCTTTACATTACTGCAGCAAGGTGAGAAGAACCACTAGAGGTAATAATAATAATAATAATAATAATAATAAATTCGATTTATAAAGCACCTTTCATTGCTAACAGCAATCCCAAGGTGCTACAGGAGGCATAATAAAAACAAACAAAAGTTTAATCAAAAGCTTTTTTTTAAAGAAAGGTTTTTAAGCCTTTCTCGGCCAAAGGACCACGCCCAACTTTCCTGTGCCTGTGCCACTTGGCGTCCAAGTGAAGGCTGTTCAGCCACATCTGCATGGGTCCGTCTGCGTCCGCAGCGATCGCAGCCACTCTAGTCAATGGGTGCTATTCCACCACACGCGGCTAGAAGCGTCCCAGAAGCGTCTCGGCGCAGGGCTTCTCTAAAAATAGGATGAATCCGAGGCGTTGCGTCGCGTCGGGCAGGCAGGAAGTGGTGGAACGTTCAGAGCATCCGGCCCAGGCCCATCCCCCCCAAATAAAGTAATTTTGCAGACCCCCCTTCACATCACGACACCTTCACTACGACACGCACAATGGACAACGAGCTTTTCATCATGGAAGTGGAAAAACAAACGATTTTATACGACATAACCCATCATTTCTACAAGGACAACATCAGAAAGGACAAGGCCTGGTGTTTAGTCGCTGGAGTTTGTGGAGTGGAAGGTGAATATTAATGTTTTAAAGTTAATGAATACTTGTAGGTACAGTAGCCTACAGAGCCATTCAGTAGTTTGCATTTCACAAGAAAGTATTTATTATTTCTTATATCAATTATCTGTGAAGGGAAAACCAAGCAAAGAATTAATAAGTGAAATCATTTTATTAATCTGAATCTATTCTTTTTGTTCAGTCGACGTGTGCAAGCAAAGGTGGAAGTCACTCATGGATGCTTTTGTTAAAAGCAGAAAGCAATCTACCCCAAGTGGATCTGCAGGTGGCACGCAAAAGGGCTGGAAATACGCAGGTTTAATGTCCTTCGTTTTGCCCTATATACAGCAATGGAGGTATGTATGCACATTTTTAAATGTATATCATTTTGTAACTTTGTAATTTGTCATGATGTATTGCAAAGGGTATGAAAGAGTTATTTTAAATTACATAAATATGTTCCTATTGCATAAATTAATCCCAAGAAAAAAGGTTTTAATTGTTTTCATGTTGTTGTTTCTTTTCATATAGTTCAAAAAGCAGCTTGGGCAATCCTTCCCCACTAGAGGAAATGGAGATATCAGGTACACCAGGAACAGAAGAACAGTCCAGGATAATATCTGGATCTCCAAAAAGGCCCTCTAGGTCCCGTAGCCCCCAGGAATCCACACCAGCAGCGGCCCAGCGTTCCACAAGGAGGAGGCCACAGAGCACAGACCTTGGAGAGCAACTGATGTCTCTACTGCATGAACCTCCAGCCACACCACACATGCCAGACTCAGAATTAGAAGAGTCATACCACTTTGCACTCAGTCTTGTGCCTATATTACAAAGGCTGGACAAAGACAGGAAACATCAGGCCAAAATCAAAATTTTAAACACCCTCCATAGCCTTGAAAAAGACAATACACAACACCAGCAACATTGGCAGCCGATTGACCATCCCCCCACGTCACAACACTCCAGTCACACCTCCAGGCCAGTAGCCTTTCGGCCAACTGTACCCCAACCCCCACAAGCCCAATCAACACCTACAGGGCCATTCACAGACATGGCCCTGTAGGTGAATCCTGTGCAGTGGCTCTGCATGGCAGGATGGCAGAACTGGGGGGTCTTTGTATGAAGACCTGTAGAACTGTTGATTGTTTTTGCTGTAAATAGTTCCTTTTTTGTGTTGATTGTTGTACATTTCAACTGTTATTTGATGTTCCTGTTTAAAATGTTGTTTTGGGTGAAATTGTAATAATTAAAACGTTTATTAAACTTGTGGTCAGTGATTTATTGATTATATATATAGAATAATTATGATGATGAATGCATATTTTCTTACCGTGCCCGGTAGGTTATGACGCTGGAGGAGGTCGGACCAAAACCGCGGCGCAGACGGACCTGGTGGAATCTAGGGGTGAGGGCCCAACGGCCGAGGCAGCCGTCAGTCTGCCCAAGGGCGAGGTAGGTAAGCTAAAGCAAGATTTGCAGGAGTAGCAACATAAGGTTTGGTATTTTTTCCAGACTAGGCAACCCTTTAGTTTAGGAGTGGACAACTGTAATGTTAATCATTCATTTTTATTTTTACATTACTTATAAATTATCAAAAACATGTGAGTAGACAACTTGTTCCTTACCCCGGGATGTAAAGAGAATTTCAACAAGTCTAACAAAAATGTTTAAAACATTACCCATTCTAGCTTTGAACACACACAAAAACAGAACACTCCCTAATACCAACGAAGGACAGGATCCTATTGGCTGTTTCCATAACTTAAACCACTATCTTTCTTATAATCTTTCATTAAACACAACATTTGATTTATATTATATATATTAAATCTCTTAGTAAATGTGTGTAAAAGGCAGGGACAGGCTAAAGAGCACACACACTTCACTAACCTTTCAAACCAACCCTGAATGTGTCCCTCTTTTGTTTGAAACCCATCATTGACAGTTTGATTAGGTCTTCTGCTGCCTGAGGCAGTGGTTTAAAGGAAAGGGCGTAATGCATTAATGCCTTGTTTACACCTCCACATGTGCTTGCTGCACCCTAAATCCACTTTGAATCAAATACCCAACAAGCCAGGTGAGAGCTATAGTGTCTTAAATACTTTTTGTCAGGAAATATATAAGAAAATGTTTGATCATGCTCACTAAAGCAACACAAAAAGATGAGCAATACAGTTCAGCTTTTCTGAGCAGATTGTTGTTGATAATGTCCATGGTTGAATTTGGATCAATTAGGGTCTGGCAGATGTGCAGAATCATGGTTGACCCCAGGGCTTAAAGGATACAATCCAATTTCCTCCAACAAATGTAATACTATTAGTGTGGATAAAAACAGACAAGTCACAAGGGAGGAGTCTCTTAAAAACCAGGGAGGGGGACATGAGAAAGAGAGAGACAGAACAGTGGCTCAGAGGGAAGAGACAGTTCCCACAAAGGACTTGGAATCAGAGAAACCTAAAGACTGGAAAGTTTAGGAAAACTCAACATTAAGTTTGAGTGACTGAGATGATAGAAAACATGGGAAGAAGAGGATAAACAACCTCACCTGACTACTGCGAAGGACACAGTCTAGTTAGTCCAGAAAGAAGCGCAGAGCTTACAGGGACAGAAAGAGGTGTAGAGGTGGAGCTCTCACAGAAATCCACCATTGAGAGAACTTTCTTGATTGAACTCCACTTCGGGAAGACTGAGGAAGACAAAACAAGAGGTGAAAAAAGACGACAACTTGCTGCCACAATAGAACCTTTCGGCTATGAGAATCTGCAAAAAGAACATTCGGCTTCAAGACTTCACCATCATGTACTTCACCGCCATCGCTGCTCTCATGGTCATCTTGGTGGCTTCATACCAGGGCCCCACCAATGCTGTTGAAGTTTCAGACCTTAAAATAAACCCCTCCGGCCCTCTACCGCCGCTCCCCATGCCCTTCCGTATGAGCCTTGACCCCCGCGGGGATGTCCAGCTCTCCTGGAACATCAGCTACGCCAACCAGGAGGTTTACATTCAGCTGACGGTCGCAGACATCAAACACGGCGTGGTCTTTGGGATGTCGGACCGCGGGGAGCTGACCAACGCTGACCTGGTGGTGTTGTGGGACTCTGGAACTAACAGCTACTTTGGGGTAAGCAGGAATGTGTATTATCTATATAATCTGTCCAACACATTTCAAATAATTTAGGAAAAAAACAAAACAACAAGAAATTCCCCTGATTATTTTTTTAAGAACTTTAAAAGGTACATGCAGCAAAATATAACATTTGATCAGGTTAATAGACACAAGGAGGTAAAATGTATGATAATAAAAATAAAATAAATAATGGTTTCTCTCTGACAGATAAGACACAAGACAACTGAATCGATGCAACAATATAAAATATAAAACCCCATAACAAAGTGAACATATCGGTACAACAGAAATACAAATAAAAAGATTAAGACCTATACAATAAATAAAACAATATAAAGGTAGGTAAATAATAAAGACTAAAAGAACATTTAAAGTGGGGGGGTTGCTAATAAAAAGCTAATCTAAAAAGATGTGTCTTTAGCTGTCGTTATAGCTACAAAACATTAGAATGACACAAGGCTCGTCTCCTAAAAGGTGTGGAAATCCAGCAGGAGGTGTTGCATCAGATATTTGTACAGTCTTTCTCAGTCTCCCTTTCCATTTTCCTCTCTGTGTCAAATTCATAAATGCACATGGATTACATGAAGTCCTTGAGGAAAGGAGGTTTCCCTCATCTGTCTGCGGTCCCCGGGGCGTGAGATTGGTGTTTTTTGCACGAGGAGCCGGCGGACTGCTTGCTTCATGATCACAGAGTCACAAAGGATGCTATCGGCCCCAGCTAATTGGAAATCACTCAAACGTCACTAATAGCTGAAGCTCACTGGGGAATCATTAGCAGGTATTAACATATCAAAATTGAATCCTGTGCTGATTAAGATGTGTAAAATGCCTCATTTTTTATATTTGCCAAACACAAGCCTCCTTAACAAATGAAATTCCCTGATAAATTAATCAATTTAGAATTTATGTTGCTGTAAAATTCCAATTTATCTTTTTTTAAATTACATTTTGTCCACAAGGGTTATGTGGAAATATGAATAAAAGTTAGCAGGGTGAATACAAATTGCAGATACATTTTTGAGCAGCAGTTCTGATTGTTCCTTGGAAAAAAACTTTCTGACTAATTTATAATTTGTATTATATTATTAACATACTGTAGGTAGTAGGACTAACATCTGGTCGGTTAGTGAATGTGCGTTCAACCTTTGAGGATCCTGTGTGTACAAAACTACCAAATGGGGATCGGTCAGCAAACAAAGACTTCAGTTGTTTGCTATGTAGGGTTTGTGGTTTCACCATGAATAGCAGGTTAGTTATCAGGTCATACATGAGATAAAGTGCAGGGACAGCTTCTGAAGTACAATTGTTCCCTCTTAAATGAAGGCTAAAGTATAAAATGTCTCTTACATCTCATTCTCTTTTTGTCCATATGTCTTGCTGAGCAATCCCTCACAACTAAAAGCAATGTGTGCAGAGTTAAATAGTTCCTTTCGTCAATGCCGAGAAATAAGGACATTTTAAACTTTTATAAAAAATTGTTCCTCGATCGAAGTAATCAGCAGAAGGGGACTTGAATCTAGAACTAATCTTATTTGATATAAATGTAATATGAACTGAGGAATGTTCATTTAAAGTTTTGATGGTTTTAAAAATGAAAAAGGAGTAAAAGGTCACAGATTTCTTCTTCTACTTTCTTAGACCAACACCACTCTTTTGAATAATAAACCATAACACCCAAAACTAACATTACCACTATCTATGCTGTTTTTTTACAGAACATGGGCAGTTGACTCCTTTCTATTGATTTTTTTGTGCAGACATACACCATATTGTGATTCTCTGTTGAGATTAGATCTGAGGCCAGCAGGACTCCATAAACTGCTCTCAGTTCAACTTCAGAAGGGATGGCTGAGACTTTTGTCTCACAAATCCACAAGCAGTCTTTTATGGCAACACGTTCCACCTAATACTAGAATATAGATCAACTCCAGTGTAATTATACCATTACCATAATAAACTAACTTTGATATTGGCAAAACAATTGAATCACATAATGTAAGGATTTTAACGGCCAAAGTGACCAAAAATGGTTACTTGTTAATTGTGTTACTATGGATATGTAAGCAGTGCCATAAGACAGACTTGTAAACATTTGGAACTATTGTTTAACACACCATACCATGTTTTTTAGGAATTCCAACTTACGCAAACATAAAGGTTGAACAGAGATGCCAAATACACGAAGTGGACCCAACTGCCATTAACTTAAACATAACAAAATATAACCTTTATACACAAACTTAACAATTCCAAGTCTTAGAAATTCTCTACACAGACATGCAACTCACATACTGTATACTGCCCACTTATTTTTTTTTAGAATCATGTATAAAAATATGTTGCCGTTTGTTTAGAGCGGTTATATAAGATGTTCAGAGAGGGAGACAGAAATACCGAGATCTTAGGTGTTATTCTGGACAGATATGAATGTGAGAAACATAGCAGGAGCGGATAGACGGAGCTGTTGAAAAACCTCCTGGCAGAGAACAGGAATATTGAACACCAGGTGGGGAAGGTACACTGATTTCTTTGAGAAAATTGTGTAGGTTTGTGTCAATCTGAAAATGAACAAAGAACAGCCACTTTATTATTTCTCTGCTTGATTTGACAACATGTCTTAAGGTAATGGGTGAATAATGAGTTTCTCATTGCGAAACCTGATCCCCTCCTTTTTTAAATGAGCTGTTCAACTGTTCAAACTCTCAGTTAAAGAAGGGTTGTCAAAAGCCTAATAGAATTGAAATCTGGACTAAATGTGATTGGCTCATATATGTGCTTTTAAATACTTTGTGCAGGTTAGATCTTTTTTAAAGTTAACATGTGTCCCTTAGGATGCGTGGAGTGACAGTGAGGGCCACGTTTCATTGGACAGCCAACAAGACTACGAGTTGTTGGATGCCAAACACAAACCTGACGGATTCCACCTGCTCTTCAAAAGACCGTTCAGCACCTGTGATCCCAGAGACTACCTCATAGAGGTGCGTGAAGACTTTCTTTTGTGTGTGTGTGTGTGTGTGTGTGTGTGTGTGTGTGTGTGTGTGTGTGTGTGTGTGTGTGTGTGTGTGTGTGTGTGTTTATGCAAATGTCAGGGTAGTCCTATGTAATCCTGTACAAACAAAAGCATAAAGCTCTTGTTTTTTAACCTTACTGGCTTCCTTACAGAGGTGTATAAAGTACTTAGATATTGGTTATACATTGTAGAATGTAAAATGTACTTGAGTAAAAGTACACAAGTATTAGCATCAAAATATACTAAAAGTACTCTTTCTGCACAAGGTTCCTTTTTCATAAAAATGTACATTATATTATTGAAATATAATTATTGATGCATTAATGTGTTGGAAGCTTGTGATGGAAGAGCTTTTTCAGGTAAATAACTTATGAATAAGGGTTAGGTTCAAACCTGTATGAAACCTTGAGCTGGATAAATATTTGACTGATTTACAAGATGATCCTCTCCTCTACATTTATGTCACTTGTCGATTCTCCAAGAGGTCATGTAAAGAGCGAGCACACGTGTTGATTTAGTCAGTCAGTCCTGAACTGAGGGATCCTGACAGTTAGCAGGTGGCGAGGAAGAGAGATTACTGAAGTGAGTGCACACGTGTGGAACATAACAGCACAGAACATTTACCCTGTATGTGAATGTTTATTAATGTTTGTGTGTGCGTTTCATTGCCGTTTCACTTCAAATGTAATATACTGATTATGGTTTCCATGGTGCCGCATAAAACCTCCAAGTTGCAGACACAAAACTAATGCTCAGTCATTACCATGACAACACAATGAAAAAGAAGTTCTCTTTTTGCCTTCATAGGAAAATTCAACCAAATAATAACCACACAAGATTATTCATTTACTGATGTTGGTTTTCTGCTTAGTATCAACTAAACATAATCTGTTTTTTGGGTGGGATTTGTCAGGAGGGAACCGTGCACGTCATCTATGGATTTTTGGAAGAACCACTTGCCTCTCTGGAGCAGCTGAACCTGTCCCGGATCCACACGGGGATGCAGACTGTGCTGATGCTGCGCCCCGACACGCTGCCACCCATCCTGCCTCCAGATGTGCGGACGCTGGATGTCTTGTCGCCAAACGTCATCATCCCACATCAGGAGACCACCTACTGGTGCTACATACAGAAGCTGCCTGAAAACATGCCCAAAAATCACATTGTTATGGTATGAATGCCTTTGAATTACAAGATATGGAAGCTTTCACACATTATGTTGCATACAATTATTTCAGAGTTTTCATTTTTGATGTACCTGTCCAAAGTAAAAGCTTTTAGAGGTAGAAACACATAAAACAACATGACTTGTTTTCTTTTTTCCACTTCTCTCTCTGTTGCTGTCAGTATGAGTCAGTGATAACTCCAGGTAACGAGGCCATCGTGCACCACATGGAAGTGTTCGAATGTTCTGCAGATAAAGGCGACGTTCCAGAGTACAGCGGCTCCTGCGATGACAAGATGAAGCCGAACAAGCTCGATTTCTGCCGCCATGTGCTCGCTGCATGGGCTATGGGTGCTGAGGTATGATGGGAAACAGACACCCACACACATCTTCTTACATCAGTCCTCATTGGCACCTTCCACTGACTACATTTACTCCTTATACTCTTAAAAACAACAGTGCTACAAACATATTCGCAACACTTACAAGTCAAAGTCAAATACATTTTTAGATGAAGCAGAAACACATATACATTGACACATTTTACACATAATAGTGTGTCTAATTGAAAAAAGTTGGAATAAATCTTGATTTTGGTCGTGTCCTCATTCCTATTATGAGAGATAAACAAATGCGCCTACGCAAGTAATATCCAAGCCTACCACTTTGAGCAAAAAACCTTGTAAAGAGGATCCCACACACAGCACAAGTCTATTAAGAGCTGGGAGACAGTCTGTATGTGGGAAGCACGCTCACATGCAAATATTCACAAACTTGTCGACACTTGACACAAAGTCAAAGAATGAAAACCACATGAATATTTACAGTTGTAGCCTAAAAACAAGTGGTTATCATGGGCTGATATTCTTGAATAACTGAATACTACTGAGGAAACTAAGATTGTGTGCATTCTATAATTGTAAAACCAATGCTAACCTTAGTCTATAAAGTTTCTGTAAGCGCTTTTTATGTCAGTGTGAAATGACAGCTTATTTTGCTGTCCCCAAGGGGCCAAAATGACGAGTATATCCAACATCATGGCTACAGCCCTGACAGTCATCCAGCCTATGAGTCAGCCTGCTAAAATGTAGTAGAAAATCACAGTTGTTTTTACCTTGAATTGTTAGTCTATAAGAAACACACACATTGCAGTTCTTTTCTTTAGGAAAAACTGTCGATTGAAATAGTAGGGAGGGAGAGAAAATGGCACCTGTGTCTTCAGGCGGCTAGTCGGCCCTCTATCAGACATTCATTCAGTCCACTTGGGTACCACAGCTACCAACCAGCCGGCTGACCAAGCAGGCAGGCAGCCGGCTGGTCACATAAAGCAAAGAGGACAGGGAACGGCGAGCCTGTCACCATATTTCTTTGCTCCGCTCCCCACTGTATCACAGCCAGCCTGGCCCCTCTCTGATTGGATTATCTGCCAGCCAAACAAAAACAAGCAGGATGCCTTCTGTGGGCTTTGAGCTGTGAAGACAAGATTAGGTGAGAAATATTCAGGCCTCTTTCATCACCTCCTAATAGTGTTGTCTCATTCTCCCCGGCACTGCATCGGAAGGAAAACGTGGCCCTGCGAAAACAATGCAAGAGAGAAAGCAGGAAAATAGAGGGAGGGAAGTTTGAAAAGGGAGAGAAACAGTAATGAACTACACTGCCAGAATGTGAAGTGAAAAGAAATGGCAGAGAAAAAGTGGTGTGTTTGTAGTGGAGAAAGCAAGTCTCCAAGGATTTTACTGTTACAACTTTAACAAGATTAAATAAAACAATTCTCTCTTCCGTTACAAACTGTGTGTATCAGCAGAGTCTTCAAGTGGTCTGAAAAATTAAAAGACCGATGATGAATGAAGATTAAATCAAGTTTCCTCGATAAAAGCGAGGAGGTTTGACGCCCATGGGGCCAGAAGTGAGTGAAAATTAGTTTTTTGCCATTATAAGCAGAATAGCTCAGAATCCAACGAGCATAAAAGAAAGAAAAAAAGACATCACACGTTCAACCAGTGCCTCAAAGTGTGCATCCATATGAGAAGACAACCTTTCGATGTGTAGAAATAATCAATAAGCATTGTTTTAGCCAGCTCATACATTTCCAAAAGGCCTTGAAGACATTTGAAAGTCCTTGTCAAGGAATACATTTGATGCAAAGACAAATGTTGATTATGTAAGTTTGTGCCAAGGCATGTTTTAGTTTTAGAGGCCACTTTCCAACATTGGAAAGAACCATTACATTACATCACTTACAAAGTGACTTACAATAAGTGCAAAAAACATTTATATACAAACTCAAACAGCAAGAAATATGAAAGAACATTTGCTAGGACAAGTATTGGTGCATTGGTCTCAATTGTCCAAGACCAGGGACACAATTAGTTGAGTGACATCTGCGTAACTGTGGAAAAACAAACCAAGAGAGTGAATGATGATGACCTGAAAGATAAGGGGGCCCAGGTGTGAGCCCAGGGACCCCAGAAGAAAAGGAAGACTATCAGTACCACATTAGTAGAGCTAGAGAGACAATCTATTATCTCTGCAGAGTGGGCAAGAAGAATCAATAAGACTAATATAGTAGTGATTACCAAGATGGAATCACATTTTGAAGGACAACATTGGGCGAGTAATTAATATGCAAATAATTGAGGTGGATGGGTAATCCTGTAATTACATTTTCAGAATGGAAGTAAGTCTGGAGGTTTGAGATACAACCGTCAAATAACCAGTTTTGTGTTTCGACCTCTTCTTGGCACATGGTTGTAAATAGTTTTACATCTGGGTGATTTCATTTTGTCATCCTCTGACATTGTCAGTCTTAAACAGAATGAGCAAGGATGGAAAAAATAATTAATTTTAGCTCCTTCCTCAGAAAATGCATTTAAATCTGTTTTTCAGTTGGGGAAATTAGCAGATTATAGTTTTGTCACAGTCAAAAAAATGGTGTGTGTGTGTGTGTTTTGCAGGCTTTTTACTATCCTCCTGATGCAGGGCTGCCTCTGGGTGGACCAAGTTCCTCAAGGTTCCTTCGTCTGGAGGTCCATTACCACAACCCTCTCATTATATCTGGTATATAAAGTACACACTTAGACTCACACATTTTACCACATTCTGCAACACTGCACTTACTCTTATTCTTCTCCGTTGTTCCGAACATACCCATAACCTACTAGTAAACTGACTTTGCTACATATTTAAATATTGCATGATTTTGTTTCTCGCAGGCCGTCGTGACTCTTCAGGGATACGCTTGCATTACACCCCGAGTCTGAGGCGGTACGATGCAGGGATCATGGAGCTGGGTCTTGTTTATACTCCCATCATGGCTGTCCCACCTAAACAAAACAGCTTCTACCTCAGTGGATATTGCACCTCCGAGTGTACTCAGACTGTATGTATACATATATGTCCCCCATAGTCACTGCATTATTTAAGGTTCAAAAAAGAATTATGGATAAATATTTCATCTAGCATGCCACATATTTTTCTTCAAGTTTTGGTCCCTTAAGCACAAAAATCTCAGTTGGAGCTTGACCTTGAAAGTTTCTCCGTCTGTCTGTTTGTATATCTAGGCTTTGCCTTCAGGAGGAATCTATATATTTGCATCCCAGCTGCACACCCACCTGGCAGGGCGGGGGGTAAGGACTGTTTTGGTGAGGGCAGGCAAAGAGCTGGAGGTGGTCCAGGAGGACAAGCACTTCAGTACACACTACCAGGTGAGACACAGCGGGGCTCAGTTTACCCAGAGGAAATCTGTGCACAGAACTTTCTTCGTGCGGTGTATCTTATACTTTTGAAAGAAGGTAGTCTTACTTCATATCTCACTGAGCCGCATGCCACAGATTATCCTTCTGCTTCTACTGCACCTTTTAAAATAATAAGCTGCCACCTCATTACAATAAAGGCTCAAAAAGGGTCTTTGATTTTGCATGTTTTATAACTAGCTGAAAATGATAAGCTAATGCTTGATGGTCTTTTGTGTACTTGCTGCAAATGAAGAGTTTCAAATGATTTAGTAAAAATATCTTTAAAGTACTGCTAATTAAGGGAATTACTTACCATAGAAAAAAATAGTTTTTTAGTAATTAATCAAACAGGTGTTAATATACATAGTTGTCCAATCACTGATTACTTTTTAATGAAAGCAGTATTTCTACAGAAAGTTATAACCCTATTTCTTATCAGTCACAATTGTTCTGACCTGGTTTTAGCCTCATCAGATATAGCCGTATATATTTCCATTCAAAGCAGAATAAAATAACTTCCTGAACGTCAACTCAACATCAAAACTGACAAACAACAGCATTAACATTGTTGGGAGAGAGCAGACGACATCTGTTGTGTTTTATTTATTTTTTTAAATGTGCAATATCCCGGGGCAGGTACACACACACACTGAGGCCAGAGAAGGACATCTGCTAGACTGCCAGATAAAATCTCCAGCTGCTGTTGATGTCTGACTAATCTGTGTACCTGTGTGGCGGTGTTGTTTCAAACCCTGCATCCTCATTATAGACATATGAACAAACCACTTTCTGAAAACCTTATAGAAACACATACAACACAGCTAATAACTAGGAAAGCTGCCTCCAAGGAAATCCTCAAAATCAATACATTATCTGTCCATATTTTAAATAAATTACGATTATGTCCAAACTCAAGATGATAGAGAGGGAAATGTGGTGTAAAAAGATATGTACACAATTAAATGTTTGGTGGATTTTCCCTTTAATTACTTAATTTTCTTTTGTTCTTCTCGCCTTTAGACGATCCGAGTTCTGAGGAAAATGACAAATGTTTTACCTGTAAGTATACATGTTGATCACTACGCTTGCAATTTAATAAAGCATTGCCTATTTTAGTTTTTCTCTGTGCAGAATTTGTATTCAGAGAAGATTCGATTGTTTAATGTTTCACAGTAAATGGTGAATGAAGGCTAAACGGTCAAGCCCCAGGTGTATTTTTCCTGAAGTTCTGAATTAGAGTACCACGCTTGAGCCCCGAGCCTGTTTTTCAGGCCTCAGGCTCGAAAAAGACATTCCCAGAACAATTGACTATAACTTCACTTCTAAAAGGGGTAAATTAATAATCTTTTTTCTCAAAGCAATGATAAACCTGTGAGTTGGATGTAGAAAAGTCAGAATCAATATAGAATGTTTTTATTTTAAAGTAAATTCAGATTGAACATAGTAAAAAAATGTAAATTATAGTGTCCGTCCAAAAAAAGAACATTACTTATAGTGAAAACCACCCTTGAATGATGGGATAGTAGACTAAAAGCTTTAGGAATCCAAACTATAACATATAATAAGTACCCTGTATCAAGATTGATGCAAAACAAGTGACATTTGACCTTTTTAGAGAGATTTAGAAAAAAAAAAAACACTTCTGGGGTCATTTGGGTGCATTTTCCATATCTACAGTATGGCCCCCCTTGGTCGATTTTGATGATTGACACCTCTTTTGAACCGTTAGAGCCAATAGAATCGAGGGGAAGTTCCTAGAATCCATCTAAACATTACCCATTGGTGAATGAGTGATGCGTAGCCAGAATGCCCAAAACCGGAAGCTGTCATACACTCTCGTAGCAGCTAATATGAAATCTCCGTTATTGACATAAATATGAAGATGGATTATCAGTAATCATTTCAAAGTGACACAGACACATTGGATTAACCTATGGATTAACCTTCAGCAGCGTTTTTATCGTTTTAATGCCATTGAACACAACATTTGATCAGAACAACAGCATAGGTAAGAATTTCTCCCGTGTTTGCTCCGTAATGCTACGTGGTGTGATGTCTGTTTTTATTTCCCCTGTCGCGAGTTCAGATCGCTCAGTGATGATACTTATATGTCTGGAATCTGTGGAATCTCAGTTTGCTAATCGACATCTTGTTTGTGCAGATTTGATAGGTAATAAGGGTATTTTACCTTGAGTTCTGTGCTAATTGCGTTAGCATTTTTTCGCTCAGGGCTAATTCAGAGCCTTTGTTATTACCCTTTTGTTTCGTTTAGCTAAACATGGTTAATATTGTCTGATAGCTGAGTTTCTTCCCGTTAATTGAGTATGACACATTCATAGTTTATAAAATGTTAAGAAGCCCTCAGACGCTGTTTCTTGCAAGATGTTGCGTTTTGCCCCCGCCGAGTGAAAATACTGTAGGGACAGGCTGTAATAATGTGTGATGTGATAGGAAGTTCTCTGGAGACAAAGACACAGCAGCTGAGCTCCACACAGCAAAACAAAAAACAAATACTGGCCACTGGATCTAACATTTTTGTCAATAACCTTAAACTATCCAATTGCGCTTTGTTAAAAATGAAATATGGTGAACATGGCGTTGTGTTTCTGCTTAATCCTGCAGGGTGACGTCCTCATAACTAAGTGTACTTATAACACAGAAGATAGGAGCAAGCCTACATTGGTGAGCGGCACACTATTTTGATATTGCTTAAATTCACCTTGGGCGACAGCATAAGTCTTGAGTATTGCCTTCTCTAATCTCTCTTTTCCCCTCTATCTTTCTCCAACACATTTCCTTTATTCTCTTAATCCTTCCATCTCTCCCCCCTTAATACCTACATCTGCTCTTTATACTGCACATTCCTCCATCTTCATCTAAATCTCTTTGTATCCTCAGGGAGGTTTTGGCATCATGGATGAAATGTGTGTTAACTACGTTCACTACTACCCTCGAACTAAGCTGGAGCTCTGCAAAAGCCACGTTGACTCAGGATACCTGCAGAAATACTTTAACTTCATTAACAGGTAACACTAGCACAAACTCATCTATCTCTCTCTCAGAAATCACTTGCGTGCGCCCCTCGTCCTTCATTAATTTGACATCTTCCCCTTCATCTTCTGTATGACTAAGCAATTCTTGGCATCATCAGTCACTCTTGTCCTTCGCTCCCGGAAACCAGAGTTGTGATTTCTCCTTTTATCGCAAAAAAAAAAGGTGTTTTGTCCTTTAAAGTGAAACTGTGTTTTCTCTCATGCCAATTCTATCTGCTTTTTTCAATCTCTTCCTCCTTTCTCAATCTCCCTGCCTCCCTCTTTATCGACTTTCCTTCAACCTCTCTCTTCCTCTCTTCCCTCCATCCTGCCCTCCCTCTAGGTTCCACGGAGATGACCATTGCGTGTGTGATGTGGACGTGACGGAGCAGTATTCTAAACTACAGTGGGACGCATTCAGTGGAGAAGTGCTGGACTCCCTTTATAACACAGCCCCCATCTCCATGCACTGCAACCAGTCGAGTGCACGCCTCTTTCCTGTAAGTCCCAGACAACACACTAACACACACTAACACACACTAACACACACACTGCAATCGACTGCCAAGCCGCCAATTATCCCGATCAGAAGGCAGGCATCAGTCGGACAGAATAGTCAGATCGGCTGAACGGACCGCTTGTTAACCTATAACAAAAACACAGACACACACACAGGATGTTTGGATCAGAGTGAATAAATCAATCCGAGATCAAACATGGTTAGAGGCCTTGATCAAGGTTTTATGTAAGAACAAAAAACGTCCTCCTTGATTTATAACATCAGGTCCAGTGTCTGGGAGAAAAAATATCAAAAACGTTGAAAACCTCATTTGAAACATTAGGCTCATGTTCTTGAAAGATAGCATATGGCTTGATGTTTTTACAAAGCTGCAAGAGTATTTATTATGGTGTATAAAAAACTACACACTAACACTGTTTATGGGGGGAACTGGACTTGACTCTGTAATAAGAGTTGGAAGCAGCTATTTTACAGTTGAACAACTATGTGCCGTAAAAGAAAGTTCACTAGAAACCACAAATACTTTTTTTGGGGCAGGTTTGATGAACTGTACAGTAAAAACTGTCACATAATAAAACCTGCAAAAATATCAAGGACAAAACGCTTACCCCCCCCCCCAAACAACGATGAAATGTGACCAACATTATATATCTGTTTCTCCAGGGGGAGTGGGACAAGAAGCCTGTACCAGTGGTCACCTCCATCCTGGATAAGCCTCGCTACCCCTGTGAGGGAGGGGCGCCCCCCACCAGCAAACCCCCAACACCCCAAGTCTGAGCGAGGGGGTCACCACGGCCTGCTTCAGCCCACAAGAGGGCTGCTAACCTGGAGGAAGTTAAAGAAGCTCCTTTGAGCAGAATTTATCATTTTATCTCTGTGTTTGGGGATGGATGATGTTCTCTACTCGCTGTTATTGTATAATATCTATATGTAATTATGAGTATTCCCAAATGAATGATAATTCATATGTAATGTTTTAGCACTTGACATGGAAATGGCAATGGTCATGTAACACAAAAATGTGGCTCACTAATTAGCGCTTGGGACAAAAATGTAACATTATTCAAAAGTAAATAACTTATTTTTTTAACCAGTTTTTCAGTTCAGCATTGTATTTTTCCCACTCTTTTGCGTCCTGTGTGTATTTGCTTTGTTTTTGTGTGTTGAATAATAAATGTCACAAAAATGTTGGCAGATAAAAAGGGATTTATTAATACACAAATTGCTTTGGACAGATTAAATAAGTCTGGTTTAACAATCATTTAACAAGTTTACTGGTCATTAATGTTAACAATTCACTTAAGACATGTTGCATATAAGAATCACCTGCTTTCTATCATCAGTAGTTTTGTAGTATTCACATCATGGAGAGAGACATTCTATAAACTGAATTAGGAAAAAAGACCTGTTGACATATTGTGTAGAGGACCAGTAGTGATAGTTTATGTCAGTCTGTTTAACAGTTCCCAAATAAATCTTGTTATTAACCTTAGCCGCTGCACAGAACAACCATTTCAATGATTAATGGCCTTCTGGGCGAAATCAATGAATCATTCCACATTAGTAAACATTTTGTGCTGAACTTGCAGCAACACACATTGGAGAGGCGAGTAGTAGCCATACTGTACACACAGAGGACTTCCTGCTTTCACACAATTATGAATGTGCTGTTCACACTGTATGTGTTTCTTGTTTGGCCTGAACTGTTAGTGAAAGGGGATACAAGCACAGGTGTTGAATGTAAAATATTTTTGTCGTTAGATTTAAAGGAGAGGTGTCATGGCCATTTCCACTGATCATAATTCCATTGTTGAGGTCTACTAAAATAGATTTATACTGTACAATTTTCCAAACTCACATTGGTTTCTCATACAGCATCTCTGTAAACTACTTGTATTCACTGAATTTCACTATCTGCCTTTAACGGCTCATTGTAGCTCCAACAGCTCCAGCCCCCACCCTCCCTGTGAGCACAGTGTGCTCTGATTGGTCGGGACGTTGTGAATCGCGCTGAGCTCCGTGGAGGTGTTGTTTCCTTGTTTAGGATACATAGCGAAACACAGCCAAATTCATCCTGAGCACACACAAACTCACATCCGAAGTAAAAACAATAAGTGTGGCTTGATATTGAGTAAGAAAAAGGTTGATAAACGCTGTGAGAATGGGTCTGCAGAGAGAATTTTGCCGCGATCCCAACTGTCTGTCATCAGCCTGCAGCCAGGGAGGAGAAATAAGCTGAGCTGCCGGCTCCCTGCACACAGATGTGTGTGTGAGGAAGTCCGTGGATCGGTCAATTTGGACCAATCAGCGGGGGCTTAACGTAACGGCTCCGCGGACGTAACGTAACGGCTCTTCGGGATTGGTCCATTTCGTTCCGGGTACCGCTTGACATCATGCCGTACCCGGAACGAAATGGAAGACTCAAATGGGCAGTGACGTATCTCCAACGAGGCGTTTTGGGGAGGTATTTTCTGTGTTAGAGTTTTACTCGCTACAGGGTGTACTTTGAGGGTTTTGACTCTGCACACCGTTTACATGCATAAAAACCTTCATAACATACAAGGGGACGGGTAATAACCGGAAAAGCATGACACCTCTTCTTTAAGACATAACTAGCAGAATTAGTATCTTGAATTACTGCACATACTTTAAGACATGATTATGCCATCAAAGAGTTTGACTGGTGATTTCTCTTTTTCTGTCAGTTTTACTTTGAAGACTTTTCCTTACAACAACCATGAGTTGGCGACAAATAAAATAATAGCTGATTAGTTAGCAGTGTATATCTATACAGTACACACACAGTGTATACATGTGGCATACACTAAATGACTGAGTGAGATGACAGATGAAGCTAGTTGTATTATCAAAATGTACATTTTAATTACAAAACATCTACAAAACAGTCCTGTCAAATTCACTAGTCCATTGTACCAAGATCATATTTTGATATGTTAAAAGGCCAAGGCGATGATAAATGTGCTGTCGCCTCCTGCAGATGTACAAATGGTTGAGTTTGATTTAGCAGCAGAACAACAGCAAATAAGCGGCTGGATTGGAAGATAACTCTTAAATGACAATGGCATTTGGTAAGAAACGAACTTAAGAGAATTGAGTTTGCAAACAGCAGCGACGGCAGTATAGAGCAGAAGAGGACAGCAATGACGGAGAGGGGGGGAGGGGGTGGGTCAGAAAACAAAGGCTCTATCTGTAACAGCTGCTTTCTGATAACTTGTCTTTATCCAGTATTTTTTTCGACAGCAGTGTTTCCTCCCTGGCTGGATAAACTATGCCTCAGGGTGTTTTTTTGTTGATAAACACTCTGTCTGCCTAAGATTTAGATACCATACTACAGAGTGAAAATCAGTTTTAGTCACTGTTGTCAACAACAGCATCAGTCACTGTAATCTGACTCAAACTGCCAGAAGGGCTTGTGAATGGTTTGGAAACACTTTGATTCCCCAATATGGTACAATATGGCCTCATAGGATAAATGTTAAAAGGATTTAATATCTAAAATATAGCACTTTAAAAAGGGAAAAACTTGACTGTTATACATGCCTAAATACTTAAAGTTATTTACTTTTTAGCACCAGTATACAAAGCTTGTGCTGCCAATAGAGAAGTCACAGTATTAACTAGATGTAAAGGAGATTCCCTGAGTTATCTAGCTTCAAAACTTACTGGTGATTGTTTGAAAAGAGCAAATATTGTTCAGTTTAGTTTCTATTTTAAAAAACGACCTAATCATGTGAGGTTATTTTAGTAATTAAAAGCGATCCAGAAAAAAGCTCAGGCTTATTCAAAGATAGCAGGATCACGCGAGGGACTTATCCAGGTGTACTGGAAAAACATCTTTGATTACTAGAGCAAAGATACTGTAGTTCACCTCTGTAGTTTGTCTTCATAGTAATATTTCTCACATGAGAGCATTCACAAGTGTTACTCTTAAACCCAGAGCAGGCTTAAAATGTAAAGCTTAACAATCAACATTTGTACAAGAAGAACTAAATTAGCACCTCTTTTGTATTTTGATTTACATTTTAGTTCTAAAAAGGTTTCTTTTATCCCCTCCAGTTATTTTTCCTATCACATTTAATCTATCTAAGCTATAATGCATACTATTTGTAAGCTGCACCTCTCCCAGCCTCACTCTCCAACCAGTTTGTTTTCTTCAGTTTTCACATGTGTGGTCCTTCTCAATCATAGATGCCCTTGATGCGTTTGTTCTGAGGGTCAAATGGAGATTTAAGATGGGCCTTGGCCTTGTACGTCACTCCCATCTTCTCCAGGGTAAACTCGCCGCTCTTTATGAAATCGGCACTCACCTGATAAAGAAAGGAAGAGAGAGATCAGAGCATGGAAATATGAGGTGGGGAGGGAATTTACATTTTATATAGATGAGGAGGATGACGGGGATTAAAACAGAGTGGAAATGAGACGACCAATTAATCCACGCTCTTTGTAAAAAAAATATTGACTTCTCCCAGCTGACGGAGCACTCCAGAGCAGACAATTTCACAGCAGTCGTATCTGACAGATGAGAACGGCGCTGGAGTTATAAAACGCTGAAAGCAATCCATTCACTCATGAGTCAATGTCAGCTCCTCGTAACCCAGAGAGCACATTTTCACAGACTGACTCCCTTCTCCCTCCCTGCCGCTGCACACACACATAAAAGAGCTCTCTCTCTCATCACCATTTAATTTCAACTACTTCCATGTTCCAGGAATGGCGTTGATGCCCTTGTCTCACTTGGAATGGTGACGTGTTACACACACTTCTCAGATCCATTATTTACCTGAATTTGGCTGCATTTAGTCCATGATTCTTAAAAGCAACCATGCAGCACTTTCAGTCTCACTGTATTCTATTAAGATGAATGCCCCCAGGTTTCTAAAGTGACTCCACAGTATATTTAAATCCAAAGCTCTAGCCAGGTGCTCCTATTACAACACAATGAAATAACAGTGTGCTGGTCCAAATTATTCAAAGCACCTGTTGCAGACATTTATATGAAACCTTGCAGGTCAGAGCAATTCCCACTGGCATTTTCAGAACAGTATCATAATGAATCAATTCACACAGAAGGATTTACAAATATTATTTCAGCCACCTTTGAGCGCTCAAATCAAAAACGAGGACAATTAAAGGGGCCCTATTGTGCTAATCTTTAGGTTCATATTTGTGTTTTGTGTCTCTACTGTGACATGTTTTCACACTTCAATGTGTGCTGCAGCAGCTCTTTTCACCCTCAGCTCTGATTGGTTAGCTGGCCGGCTCTGTTGGGATTTGTCAACCGCTGAGAGATGTCCCACAACTTAATAACGTACAGTTTGTTGGAGCGCTAGCCAATTGAAGCGCACGTGTTACATAGTGATGTCATTGTGTTACGGAATTAAACAAAGGAGTCCAATCGAGACGTTTCAGGCAGGGGGGGGGGGGGGAACTTTGGGATTTTAGCCTTTGCCGACCATTGACATGCACCAAAACCTATACAACACGCTACAGGAAAGGGAAACCTCCCAAAAGCATCATAGGGCCTCTTTAAAGACGTTAAACTGCTTTTGGGCTGTAACTTAAATGAATTAACTTCATACTCCATCTTGCTCGGCATTATTTGATGGTGTTCTGCACACAGGCATAGAAGTATAACTGCTTCGTTTTCAAGGAGTACATGCACTTGTCAAACCACTGATGCATGTACAGAACTCAGTCTGACAGCCAGTGAAATAGGTTGATACATTTTAATGGTGTACCCACTGCCTTAATACCACAAAGCAGTGAAACAGTGAATTAAAAAAGGAAGAATAAGGTAGGAAGCAAGGAAAGAGAGAAGAGAGCGATCAAGCGTACCGTGGAGTGCAGACATTTATATTGTTCTCTATACATGGGTCTGTTTAATGAGAGAAGACTCTTACAAAGTTACTTCTGTTGAAGTCAGTGATGTGATTGAAGGGGATGTGCTCTGTAATCCTGAGTGACAGGACACTAGATCGCTCAGACCTGTCTGTCTGACTGTGTGTCTGTCTGTCTGTCTGTGCGTGTGCGTGTGTGTGTGTGTGTGTGTGTGTGTGTGCGCACATGTCTGCATTCGAGTGAGTGCATCTCCAAACTGTAGTGCTCGTCAAAGCCAGGAGTCATTCTGCTTTGTTTTGTACTGCTGGTCACGACTCAAGGATGGATATTAAACAAATGAGCACACACAAGGGCACACATTCGATCACACAGATGTGCTCGCAACGCAGTGTGTGTCTAACGTTGTGTGTCCATGAGCACAGAATCGTAGATACGGATCTATATAAAGCTAAAAAAACAAAGGATTGTTCTGTTTAATTTAACTAAAATAGGCTCTTTGCCTAGGAGCACACCACTTCCACCAATAACTTTGTGTTTCTCTCTTGCTGCTTCAATCCTTCTGTTTGATGTTCCATCTGTTATTCTGTATGCGTCTGTATTATTAACGAGACAGAAACACACACAAAAAACCTGTATGCTGGCCGATAACACTTATGATTCAGTCTGAGGCTATTATTGATTGATAAAAGAATCAGTCCTCAATCTTAAAAATAGGATTTCTAGAATTTGTTACTTAATGCTTGAACATAAATCAGTTCTGTTGTCTGGATTTCTATGCACACTTCTACTCAAAACCAAGAATTGTGTTCAAATGGGATTATCTCACTATACTGACATCATGTTTTTTGAAGAAAATTAAGCAAAACGACAAGCCCAAAAAACAACGGCATAAAACACAAAAAAGGAAGTAATGATAGGTAAACAGTGTGTACAATGTGTATGTATATGTTCATGTGTTGTGTGTTTAAGGTCTTTACCACTCCTCCATCAGGTTTGCGGATATATCCATATCCGATAGTTTTGTCGATAAAGAAGCCATAGTCTGAACGACGTAGGTGACCAACAGGAATGCCGTTACGGTGAACTGCTTCCAAACCAAACATGGATACTTTCCTGAGGGAGAGACAGAGGAGGAGAGTGTTTAACAGTCAAACAAACAACACACATTCATTTTGCACACTCAGCTAATTTATTGTCATGTTGGAGTTTTTCTTTTAAACACAATTAATTTGATCTGATTCCAACACTGACTCGCTCATGCACACACATACACAAAATCCCTCTTATACAAATACACAAATACTATTATAATACGCATATTCACACTAATTATATCTGTCAGGACCAAACAGAATATGCCCACTTTGATAAAATGTCTTTCTCGTAAAGAAAGCAATGTTTTCATCTCAGAAAATCTCCTCAAGATCAGAGGGAAAACATTTGTTTTTGTTTGACCATCATGCGTTTGTAACATTTGTCTTCCCACAACTCATTCAAGAGTGTAAACCTCCAGCTGAAGATTAAAAATTAATATGAACCGAACCGTGATTTGGTGGAATTGCATCCTAGCGGCTGAACCAAGTGGAACATTTTGAATGGTTAATGTGTTTTTCGGACAAAGATCTAATGGAAACGGATAGTCATGTTTAATAAAATAATTTGCAGAGTGTTAAATGTCTAAAAAGAGAAACCACAGAAGGGAAAATCAATAAATATTAAATTAAACTGCATCTCCACCCTGACACACAATATATCCGTACACATGGTCTTCTTCAAAATCAGTATTACATTAACTCACTGCACATTTGGTAAATATATTAGTAAGTAAAGTAAGACAATTCTTTAAATTATTTTAGGCTTATGTTAAGAAATCTATTTATGGAGGAAGTCTAAGTGGCTGCAGGAAGCTTTATTTTAACACATTTATTTTACGTCAGTGCTCAAATGTGCGATTGTTGTAAAGATAATTTCATTCCTAGTAGCATATAATCTCAGTCTTTACTTACTCATCAATGGTGAAGCAGACGATGCGCCTCCTCAGCCCCTCCTCCTTCTGTTTCTCCAGCCTATCACGGCCCTGGAATGGGATGGAGCTCTTCATTTTGCAGGTGAAGCCTAACCCTGACTCTAGGGGTGTGTCATCAGGGCGAAGGTCTGCGTGCCAATGCCTGTAGCCTGATTATTAGGGGGGAAAGGTAGACATTAGGGATGAGAGGCACCAAGGGACTGTTATTTTAGGGGTTAGTGATTTATTTAAATAGTTACCTTTCTCTATGCTGAGTGAGTCTATGGCCCTGTAGCCTGAGTTGATGATGCCGTGCTTTGCCCCAGCAGCCATGACAGCATGGTAGACCGGAAGGCAAGAGTCTTTGGGTATGTGCAGCTCCCAGCCGAGCTCTCCGACAAACGACAGACGCATCGCCCGCACCTGGACCAGAGAGAGGAGGCTTAGAGAGATGGAGAGAGGCTGGTAGAGGCTGTCATGCCTTTGCTTGTGTTCAAACACACACACGTTACTTTTAAATGAGCAGATCTACCGGTAACGAATCTTAATATAAACAGCAGCCACCATGTGCAGCAACTGGAGAGAGAAAGTCAATAAATCAGGATATAATAAATGGAATAGAATTGAAAAAAATGCAAGGATAAGATAAGGTTCACGCACATTGAAAGTGTAATCTCCCTTTAGAATTGAATTTCCAATTAGGTTGAATCCTAAAAAATACCTTTATGGGGATAAAAGGTGGAAATGACTGCAGTGAGTAAGGGGGATGGAGGTGACAGGGAAAACAGAATAAAAACAGAAAGAGCATGGAAGTTGGCAGGGCCTGAGAGGGGGGAAAAGGTGTACCAGATAATGAACAATAAAACTGAGAAGGAAGAAAAGTAAATGCTACAGATCAAAAAAGAAAAAGGATGAATGTTATCATCAAAAACTACTCCATTGTGAATATTTGGCATGGAAACATTTTACTCAACACTTCCATTGTAGAGTTTTGATGAATGCAGCACAAACAGTGTTAAATATGGCAAAGCTTTCCCCCAAAACTACTAAATGTAATATATAACAATGCAAAATTGTGTATTTAAAACTACAAGTAAACTAGAAAAAGGATGGAAATAGCTGAAGATACTGCAATGAATTTATGGAAGCAATCAATTAGGAGTGAGTATCTTGTCTTTTTGTTTTTGCACTTCTGAAACACAAACGACTTCCTTGTGTTTCTCCTTCATCTATAGGATTCACTAACGTTGAATCAAAGGCAGGCTGAAACTTCACTTTAGTGAATAGAAAATAATCCACTATGTTATGTAGTTTGCAACAACAGCTGTGTGGATTTCCACGGGAGTGCTTAATCTTAAATTAAAGACAAGAGTTTAAGATGACTTCTGTGTCAGGCATATATAATCACAATACAAACACTATGAGAATAACACCTAGGTTGAAGGATACCAGAATGAGTAGGATGCAAAATTATTTATTTAAAACAAGTAGGAATGCTTAAGAAAAAAAAGAAAAGGAAGCGAGCGAGAAAATGTGGGAGGGAGTGAGAAAAAGAGAGAAAACTCTCCAACAGTTTCCCCAGTGGGTGCTGTGACAGCCAGGCCATCTGGCCAGCCAGGAATCACCCTGGGCCCCATATGTACGCCATGAAACTCTGGGGAGGACAGTACATGTAGGCCCACGCAACACAAAAAACTCTCCGCCAGATACACAGGCGATAAACTCAAGCAATCCCTATGCACATACATCTACCAGGCAAACATCAAATATAGACATAGAGCACAGACACAAGTAAGATATTGCATACAAACATGAATTAATCACCGAACACGCATACCAGCACACTGCATCAACTGGGAGGATAGAGAGTCTAATGAGATATGAGGGGGGCACGGGGCAGAGGGAGAGAGAGAGAGAGAGAGAGAGAAAGAGCACTCTGCTCTCGCAGCAGTGCAGCCATTAAAATGTCACCCGGACGAAGCCAGCAACCAGCTGGAACACAGCACAAGCAGCACACACACGCGCACACTAACACTTCTGCAGAGCTGTGAGAAGATGCTGACTGCAATCACCGGAGCGTTGAATAATTTATGCAAAAGCAACTAAGACAGAGCGAGTGTGTGTGGACATATGCGTCGCTGCATGGGCCGGTACTACATGCTCCGTTTGATCCAAGGCCAGGTACAATGTGGAGGTCAAACTGAGCGGCCGAGGCTTCAGTACCTTACAGCACGTGATGGTGTATGCATGTTAGTGAGTGACCACCGCATGCTGGAGCCAAACTGTTTGCTTTTGGCTCGACTGTTTCCAACATGGTGGCTGGCAAAGAAATGCTCAGTTTGCGGCCAAACAGTACACAAACAAATATTTGTTGTATGCCTTCGTTCATTTTTGTAGAAGGGATATCCATGCTGAATGCAATAACTGTGCAGGAATATATTTTTTTAAATATTTTTTTTACGTTATTATAGTTTTCTTCAAATAGTTTTCTATCTGTGTTTTACATTTTTGTTTTGTTTTTACGTCTGCACCACAACACCAAGTCAAATTACTCGTATGTGTTAATATACCTGTTAATAAACCTGTTTCTGATTCTTGTGATTCTGAGTAAGAAGTGGGGTCAACCACATATTGCCTTTGGTTGTAGTTAAGACTTCTCCATTAGAATTAGCTTCGCAGCCAGAAGCAAATGCTTTACTCGCCCCTTCGTACATTTAGAGTGGAGGAGGTTGTTGCCAGTATTAATTTGGCACATTTGACCATTCCCCCAACTGTTTGGAAAACAGAATAAAGTATAAATATATGGTTTTCCAAGTGCTTGTAAACAGCTGCGCAGTTACTCTATTTATGAGTTTGGAGTTGTTAGACCTGAGGGGAGGAAGTAGAAAGAGATAGAAGGCAGTGAGGGTTAGAAAAGAAAGGTCAGGACAGACATCTATCACACAAATGCATGCACACAGTCTCAGATTTCTGCTCACTTAATGTGTGTGTGTTCACCTGATGCCCTGCTGCGCTGACAACTTTGTGGGTGGAGAAGGGGAAAGCTTCGTTGCTCAGGTCGGCGTCCAACACCTCCTGCAGCACCTCTCGACTGCACATACAGAGAAACACAGAAACAGAGATGCTCAGTCAAAATATTTAGCACCTGCACCTGTGCAACTGCTGTGGAAAAAGATACTAGATTTGCTTACTCGAATATCAGATGTTCAAGAAAGCAAAACAAAACTAAGTAACACTTATTATATTAGCTATAGAACCATCTTCCCCTCTCCCACAAACACACCAAGAATGAATATTACATAAAGATGAGTCAACAGAAAGAAACCCTAAGTTTAGCTTCCTATGCTGCGTGTGTGTTTGTGAGTGGGCAGGTATACAGGCAATATTTTTGAAACAGTGTGGCATGAAGCCAAGGCTGAAGATATTTGGGGAGGGAGTCCAGGTTATGTTTGCGTGTGATGTACATGCTTGTGTATCTATGTGGGGGCGTCCTACTTTTTTTCCTACAGCAATTGATGTGTTCATAGTTGGATGTAGAAACGGGGATGTTCGTATGTGAATAAAACATTTCTTGCATATATGCACGAGTGAGCCAGTACTGTATAATGCACAGGCTAATATTCTCTTCGGGCTGTCCTCCAGTTTCTGTCTGAGTAACTCACTGAACTCCCAAGACCAAGAGCAAGGCCAATTAGCTATATGCAATCAGTGACCGGCTGTGTGTGTGTGTGTGTGTGTGTGTGTGTGTGTGTGTGTGTGTGTGTGTGTGTGTGTGTGTGTGTGTGTATAGCCTGCATCTAGCAAACCACCAATTTGTTTCTCTGACTTGCCACTTAACTGTGGCTCTCAGCTGTGAATCAGATTATGAATACATACAGACACACATATGTCTTCTCTCACATGATTTCATATATTATCAATATGGTTCATAATTACAAGGCAACAGACGAGCACCCTGTTGCAAGCTGTGCGAGCAAAAAACTGCAAATCCAGATACTCCTTCTTCTGGAGGATTGGAATTCACAGGCGAAAAAGTTCTCCTCAAACTTTAAAGATATCAATTGGCTATCTTAGAAAACAAACCCCATACATTGGAGGGTTGATTTTTAGCAATTCCTCATTTGTGGCAGAAACAATAACATGGAAGCTGGGATTCATCACGTTGCTGTTCAACGAGAGATGCAATACAGACGCTAATCTTGTTTATATTACTGATACGCACACATGTGATTTTAATACAAACACTCACAAGCTAAATGCACTTTGGATGTTCAGGAAAACTCAATGAGCTACATAATCAACCTTTTATGAGCATGTGGGAATTCATAATGAAACATACACACACACACACACACACACACACACACAGTATATATTGGCTTTCTGCTGCTAGTGACGCACTGATTTCTGGTTTGACGTAAGCAATAAGAGCAAGAGCGACAGAACAATCTGACAAAGGGAAAGAGGACACAGAGAATAGGCGATTGAGAGGAGAGATTTAAAAAAAGAGCTGGATAAGATCTACAGAGACATGAGTCCGACAGTGAAGAAACAGAGGAGAACAGAAGATGAGAGAAAAGCCTCAAGGAGAAGAAGAAATCGACATAGCCCACACAGAAAACAGTGTGGCCTAACCCTGCTGCTGGGGAGAGGGAAGAACAAAGACGCAAGGTGCATGGAGGAGGGGGGGGGGGGCAGAGGAGGTGAGAGGGGAGGAAAAGATAGACCAGGAGTTTAGAGATAGAGATCGGGGAGAGGTAAAAGGTGGCCCTGCTTGCTATCCGAGTACAACAAAGGGAAAACTGCAAGAAGAGAGTGACAAGCTTGGACTACAGCCCATGTCCAAATGTGAGGTAGTGTTTATCCACGTACAGAACAAGATTTCTCATCCTGACAAATAAATCAATAGATGATGGTTCTGATGGATGAGGGTAAAAGGGAAACTGTGAGTCTCATGTTCAAAGACATCACAGTCCCTGGTTGTCCTCCATCAGTAAAATCTGCAGGCTGTAAAATGTCATAGGTGTAATATAAATTCTGTAAACAGAGTTTTTGACATTTATACTTTGAAGGTCATCACTGTAGTGTTAACACAGGGGAGTCCTTATGGCAGGGATGTGGGATAAGAGATATGATTCTATAGGATTACCTTTCATTACTAATATCATGTAGAGAACAGTAGAGTGTACGGATTAGAGGCCTAAGATAACATCACCAGTGTCTACTATAATGGTTATCCTATAATATTCCTGGATTCATTCTTTGGTCATTAGGAAAAAGTGAAGTTAATACAAAATACCTAAAGCTGAGCCATTTTAAAGGTCATAATGCAGAGAAACGCAGAGTATTAGACAAATGAAGGGGAAGTTAAGCAATCACCAAATGTATTACAATTCATAAAATTGTTGATAAGATATTCCACTCAGGGTTATAATCATAAACCTAAGCTAAAGCTGAAAGAATTAGCAGTGACAAATATTGTCATAATATGGAACTTAATAGCCTTTTAGAAAAAAATAAACTGAACGATGTTTTTTCTGGTTTGAAAACAAAAGTAAATTATATAAATTATAAAGAATTGGTTCCAGTTGTTTTCCTATAAAAAGCAGCCAGTATGAATTTCTTTCAATTCTTCTTAGAGTAAACAACAGAACATGAAAAAATGATTTCTTTACAGCAGATGAAATTATGCCGCAATTGAAAAAACGAATTAATACAAATTATTTGAAAAATCAAAGCTAGTATTACCTTCTCTTTGCTACAGTAGGTGACTTACTAATAGACAAACATTGCCATGTAGTTGCTCGTGCCTTTAACTTTTCGCGTTTGCATGATTCAGGTGAAATATTGACGAGTCTGGCCCATGAACCTCTAACCCAAGATGTAAACTGTTGTTGACACATAGAGCGCCATTGATTTTTATCATTACCACTCACCCAGATGAGAAATTGATTTAAATTAGCTTTGAACGGTTTACAGCATCAGGAAACAGCCAATGGCTCCATTAAACGGCAGAAGTACTCTTTAACCCCCATGTTTCTGTATCCTGTTTTCAATCACCCTCCGTCCCTGCACACTGCCTCTCACCTCTTACGCCTATGGCCTCGAGAATGGGCACTTAACCCGCTTTCCTCTTATCGATCGTACAGCTCTTCCTTTCTGTTTCACAATTGCTTGTGTCTAGGATGTGAATCATAACCCTTCTATTCTTTTTTTTTTTTTTACTCTCTTCTCCAACCCTCTTCTTTTGCCCTTTTCTTCACCTGGATCCATGAATCATAAAAATGTCTCCATTCATTCGTAGCCGTCTTCCATCACTCTTTTGTTTCCTCACCTCTTGGGTCCCTGGATGCTGATCATCCCCATGTCCTCAGAGTGGTCCGTTAGCTGGCAGTTGAAGCCTTCATCCTGAAGAACGGTTCTGATGTGGTTCCAGTTGTGTTCTGCCACGCCTCCTCCAATGGCCAGGTAGTAGACATCACCTGGAGCAAAGACAGGAAAGAAATTAAAATGGGTTAAGTGGAGTAAAGACAGCTGACAGAAGAAACACACAACAACAACAAAAATACTATACTATGGCATATTCTGCTGTTACACATTTTGTTGAACATAGCTTCCAGAAAAAGGGGTTGGAACCACATCTATTTTTTTACTCTTTATTTCGCCTCTCCCTCTCAAACACTACTTGTGCTACAGTAGGATGATAGCATCAAAATGGCAGCACAGAGCTCTGCAACCGGCTCCCAAAAGTTTTGGTGTCTGTTTCTCCATAAGAGGAAACTCCAGAGAGATTCAGTCATACATGTCTGGAGAAGATTCTGTTTTGCGACATCTGCGACAAGCAACAGTATCAGAGTGGAAAGTAATAACCATTTTTTACCTGCTTATGTTGTAAGTTAGCTTGTTAGCTTGTTGCTTGCAGTAGCTGACTTAGTTATTGGTTTTAAAAATATCCAATCATCTCTAGTGGGATGTTTTGGTAGTTGTTGGAAGGAAGCTTCAGGGTCTGGTTTACATGCAAAAACTGGCCACACTACCACCGTTGCTGTCAAAACTTTGATGTAAACTCTGTACTGCTCTGCGCTGAAGGTTTCATGTTTCTTTGCCGATGTTGTGTCAACAGCTACACAACAACGATTGCCTTTCAATGTTATGACATACCAAATCTAGCTGTGTTTGAAACACAGATTTTAGGAGAGTGCACAGGCATCGCCCTTTTTCAGCACAATGTGAATGTGCATGTCTGCACATGTATTATTCAGTTTAGACAGGTTCATACATTTTAGGGGATTTAAAAATAAGAAAACACATTTTAAAATGGAGAGGGAATTTAAGTACAATGACAAATAAGATGGCATTAAACACAACAAAAGAGATACAGGTAGGAGCAAAATGATGGATAAAGACACAACAATACGTTAAACAGAGCTAAAGAACCATAAATCCAAAATGAGATACAATGCAATGACAGATACATCCAGCAACAGATAAATAAATTGTTCAAATTAAAATAAACAACACTGATGTGATGATAAAGAGAAAACTGTAACAATGGAGAGAGCAACAGATATAGCAGTATCACAGACAAATCACACTGTGGCTCACCATTGGACTGTGGGGCCAGGGGCATGTTGGCGGCACCAGGCTCCAGTCTGCTCACCGTCAGGTCAGCCTCCGTCCCTCCTCCCTTATTCAGCATGCAGGTATACACAGTAGAGCCTAAAACACACACGTAAATAATTAATTGTGCAGAAATTGTGGGCCAATTTAAAGTGTGCAGTCTCACAGAACGTAATCTCAGAACGAAAAATAAACCCGAACTTTAGGTCAATATTAAGTGACCCATTCTTTGTGAGTTAACCAGCTTCTGACCTTTTGCCTGCATTTCCCCCGCCCCCACCTTTGAGTAGGAATATAATGTTTTTTAATAAACTCAAGTGTTCTTTTACTTCTTTCACAACTTGCTTTAAAGGGGCAATAATTGTAAACCTCTGCCTCTAGAAATACACAACACTTAAACCTTTTCTTTTTGTAAAATAGTAACCAAGGTAACATGATTACATAGCTTAATGAACATATTCATAAAGAGAACATGATTGAAATATTTCACTTATGGTAGAAGTCTGTATTTATTTACACAAGACAAATAATAACATTCCCGTCATCCACGGCCAACGAAATTTTCAGTCATGTGTGTCTGTCCCTCTGTCATCTTTCATTGAAATAAATGATTGATGTTACAAGTAAACTGTCACTGCTACTAAAGGAAAGGCTGTGTGAATGTGTTAGCGTAGCATAAGTCGGCCCGCTGAGACATTAAATATTCTCGGAGCAAGTGTGACCACTGTGATTGCTGTAAGTGGGAAAGCAAGGTCAAATGATGTGTCATTTAAGATGTTGAGAAAGCATTTGAAAAACCACCTTCGTAGGTGGGGTGAGATCTAGATGGCATAATGAGTGGAGGATAATAAAGTGGTATTAGATGTGAGCTCAAAAGAAAATATGAAAACAGTTTACAGAAAATAAACAGCAGCAGTGCAAGCTGAAATGGTTACTCGAACAATTGAATGCACTTTTTTCTTAATGTCATTTAAGATGGAAAAGCGGTGGCTTATGAAAAACTTTTCCATGGATGAGATACTCTAAATTGGGAATATGCGGTTATTATCTTTGAGAGTGAATAATGCTGTAATCAATAACTGTATGTCTACCTTTTATGGTATATGTTATGCTATTAAATGAGTTATTACTGTATTTTCAAAACTGTACAGTGCTGAGTTTAATATATGTTAATATTGAAAAATGGTAAAAACTTCACATCCATAAATTGAAGCCAATTATATTGTGTCTGTATGCGCCTAGACGATTATGATGTTATTGATCAATTTGCTAAAAACTGGAATCACCTCTTATACCTATGGTTTTCTTGGTCCCTTTAATAATTGCTATTATAACAAAGATAAGATTACGACATAATTCAGTCATCAAAAGTATTTATTTACATTTGAAATAGTTTTTGCTCAAAAAGAAGAAGACTTAAATGATTAAAGATTCCATTTAAACCATGTCGCTACACTGTTGCATGACAGGGGACAATACTGTTGCAACCATTTTTTCTCTTTGAATTTGAATTCGTTTTGATATTACACAACTGCTTTTACAAGTTAAGTGCTCCCCATGACAAGTAGGGTGGCATGTGCAGGTCTCCTTTTAGTGGTGGAACCTTTGAGAGACATTTTCCAATCCCAGACAAAGAGACTTTAAAACTAAAAGATATATCTGTCCTGGCATTCTTTCAGAACTTGAGTTTCTGACATCCCTGTCAACACAGAGGAGAGGTATCCTATTCAGGCATTACAACAGATAGTGGTTGAAGTGAGAAATTGGAGGGAAAAGTGGAGAAATAATAGAATATCCGCATAACTATTTTTACCATTCTTACAAAGCTGTCATTGCAGAAAACAGGAACAGCTACAAAGACCAAAAACTAGCATTTCATATTTGTTGTATTTGAGATTTTGTCAAAGATTACGGTTTTCCTAAGAAGTTGGCATCTGTTTAAGTCCTTCCTTCCATGAATTTGCCCTTTTGATTCTGTCAATCTTTTGCCCATCTGTCTCTCTGTGTGTGTGTGTGTGTGTGTGTGTGTGTGTGTGTGTGTGTGTGTGTGTGTGTGTGTGTGTGTGTGTGTGTGTGTGTGTGTGTGTGTGTGTGTGTGTGTGTGTGTGTGTGTGTGTGTGTGTGTGTGTGTGTGTGTGTGTTCTCGCTGCAGCACACTGACCTGACTTCTTGTTGACATCAGCCGTGAACAGCCAATCAGCCGCCTTCTTGGCATCTGGTCCAGTCAGATAGAACTTTCCAAAGTAGGACATGTCGAACACCGCAACGCCACTTCTGCACGTGAGGCACTCACTCTTAATCTGCAATCATAAAAGAAAAAACCCAACACACATTTAATCAACAGTCCATGACTTTTTAAATATTTTTAAAGCTAGATCTTTGAAGGAAAATGTCATTACAACTGTGATTTTAAATGAAAAACAGAGTGATGCTGATGTTAAGGTTGCCAATTTCCTTCTGTGGCGTGGAGCTAATGTGTTTGTTTGCACTTGATGCACCAATAACCTTTCTGACTGTTCTCTCGTCACTGTCATGATTGTTTCCCATGAGGACACATGTGCCCTTTTCTCACGGGAGCCTTCACTCATCTGGGGACCATGAGTTTCTTTTTTGACCCATTCACGTTTATCAAAAAAGGAAGCGGCATGTAATCAAAAAACATTACTCGACTGAATCACACACATCTTCACACATTTACGCTTGATATCTTACCACTTCATGATGCGGAGGGAAGTCAAAGGTATACTCTTTGCTGAGCAACTCGTTGTATTTGTAGTTTTCATTTTTCTTAACGTCATAAGCCCCATAGTAATCGTAGTCTTTAACCTTCGAAACAGACAAACAAGCAGTTAGAGGCTAATTAATCATCCCTGTTTCCATGTGAGCAGAGGACAAAGCAGTGAGCCAGATTCTGTTTCCTTGTTGTCCGTTTTTGGCAAGCCTTGTGGGAGAATTTGCATCTTAATTGTTTATGTTTCTCCAAGTGCCTCTGTCAATACACAGATGTGAATAAATCATTAGCGTGCACATGCTTGTGTACAATAAATGAGTGCAGTGAAAGTGTCTCACAGGAGCGGCCCCATCTTTGTTGAACCAGCCAGGTCTCTCCCAGCCGTGCCTCTCCTGGAACACACAGCCCTGCTCCGTCAGCACCTAGGACAAACAACAACACACACTCAAATCAGTACATGCAGCTGAGATATATACAACCGTTAACAAATCGGGAATCAGTACATAACCAACGAGTAACATTGATCCAAAACATTTAGCTGAAGAACACTAAAACGCTCCGTAGGGCTGAAAGGCACTCAAAATTCAATCACAACAACCCTTCACATTACGCATACTGATTTTATCCCATGTTAAAGGTCACCTATTATGCAAAATCCACTTTTTCATGTCTTTTCTACATAAACATGTGTCCCCTCTGTGTAAAGAGATTCTGAAAGTTTCAGGAAAAAAGATTAGCTCTCTTTTTGTCCTGATCCATTTATATAAAAACCTGTCTGAAAATGAGCTGATCAGATTTTAGCCACTTTGTGATGTCAGAACGATTTTTTGGCTTGTGTAACCATTAGCCAATCACCAACCAAGGTAACACCTTATCACCTGAATCTCCTCCTAGAGCACCATTGTGTTCTTTTTAACCAAATATCTCTCAGAGGGGCGTGGGGAGGGGCTCCTTATTTTCATCTAAAGTAACAGACAGAGAATCAGCACCTTTGAAACAGGGCTGAAACAGAGGGGATTATGGGATGCTACAATGATCTGTTTGGTATTTGGAGCCAAACACTTCAGAGACATGTTTTGTATATAAGTGAGACCTATAATATATTGATGAAAAACAGTATAATAGGGGACCTTTAAGATAAAATATATACAATCAATGATGATGAGGAAGTGCAGCTTTTAACTGAGTACAACACAACAAATATAGTACACTTGTTAATCCTTGATTTCTTGACCAGTGTTAAAACAAGATATTACGCGCTCCCCATCGTCCTTGTTAAAATTGACAGTCGCCCACAGTTGGTAGGTATGTACTGCTATGCTCTCCTCCTAGCAGGCAGCTAGCTGTCTTTTGCCAAAACTTCCCACACCGAGCTATAATTACCCTCTGTGCTACCGAGGTGGAGAAAACGTGGAAGCAGCAGTGTCAGAGCTGGCCTGTTTGTGCTCTGAAATAATCTCGAATTGCCTCCTAAAAGCAGACAGTCTCATTATTTGCACAGCTCCCTTGGCGGATCAAACTCCTTAAGTAGCTCTTAGCCATAATACATGGCGCCGTGATGAGGAGCAAGAGCGAGTATCTTTAACAAAAAGCTCATTTAAAAAATAATAATTAGACTTCTTGTTTTTTTTTTTCTGAGTTACTCAGCCACCCTTGCATTTATCTGAGGCACTCCGACAGCAGGAAGGCTAGTTGCTAGGTGATGGCCCTCGACGAGTGATTAGCAGGGGTCTAATGGGCTGGCAGCCTAGGGTTGGACCAACCCACTCTCACAGGGAGCGTGCTCTCCTTCAAGCAACAGTCCGTCTACCTGAGAGCGACTATTTGTGTCCTTTCAGTGCTCTGTATTGTATCCGGCTAGCATAAGATCTGATGTCGTAATTATACTGAACATAACATGATAACACCTGATCCGGCACTTGTTATGCAAATGTAAGTATTCATTGCTGGCTAGAGGGATCTGTAATAGTGAGAAATTGAGTCATACTGATACAGTGTTGTACAACAGGATGGAAGATATGCCTGTAAATAACACTGCATGCTGACAACCTGTTGAGCATTTGAAGTGTTAACCAATTTGTATGTTAAAAAGTATCTTCAAATGCTATTGGAAATCGAAATCACCAATTAAATGTGGCCTACAAATATCTGTAATGATTAAGTTTGCTCTGCAGTGGAACACAGAAGCAAACTCTGGCCACGGTACATCTTTTTCTATTGCTGCCTGCACGCGCGTCATACGTCAATGGTGTGATTCTCTCAAGACAGGTGGTACTCTCTTTTGGAAAACACAGGGGATACAAAATGACCTTGACAGCAATACTTGGATTATGCTACAAGTAAGGCTTTCTAAGAAAAAGCAGCACATCTGTTTTAACTCAAGTTCTTGTGAGCTGTCAATCATACAAATGAAGTCCATCCTTTTGAAGTACAACATGTGTTTTTAAAATCAGTTCAAAAACTAAAGCAGACAGTTATGAATCTAAAACAGAAGTACATTCAAACACTTGTTATGAAGACACAATCTACATACTGAAAAACATTTAAATAAAAATCAACATCACGTAATGTTAGTGCTCATTCTGTACAACATCTTAAAGAACCTTCTGGGAAATCTGGTTAATTATGCATGAAAGGTGTCAGAGAAGCTTAATAAAACAAGCTGTAAGAAAGCAGTAAGCATGATCTACAAAACACATTGACAGCATCACTAATGCAATTTGTTTGACAGTAATCCGTTCTGAAAGAATGCCCTCATGCGTAAGCGGGGGTGAAAATCGCAACAGTTAAAAGGTAAATAAAGTCTGGAACAGGAGAGCAAGGGTATGTGGGTCATTAATGCATAAAATATGGTGGCGAGGCCCTTTAGGAGTTTGTGTCTGGCTAAGGAGAGAAAGGAAGCAGAAAGACATCCGAGAACCGGTAACCGAAGCTAAGTGTATCATTTATACTCATGTTGGCAAGGATGGCATTAATAAGTGTAGCTGCAGGGGATAAGTTACACTGCTAACTGCTGTCTGCCGGAGTCTGAATCAGCTTTTTGCCTTCAGATTTGAGCAGAGAAGACAGGAGGAGAGACACATATAAACATACTGAGAGTAATGAGCGAGAAGGGGTCACAGTTTGACAGATGATATCTTTTTAACACTTACATCAACAGTGCTTCAAGACGAGCTTGGCAAAAATATTAAAGGATAGAGACATGAAAGTGTACATTCAGTTTGTTCTACAATCCTATTTGCAGCTGAAATGAACTCAATTCAATGTGTTCTCTGCACTGTTGAAGCCTGCAGAACCTGGGGTTCAGTGGCATTGTTACTATATTGATTTCGCCTCATTACTGTCTCAATTATCCAATCAGATGCTGCGGTTAAAGAGGTCAGAAGAGGGAGAGAAATGCCGTAACCGCTTCTTTTCTCGCACAAACAAACAAATTGGAGCGAGAACAAAGACAGTGGCGATCCCAGAGGAGAGAGAGGGAGAAGCAGACATTACGTCTGAATAGAAGGATGAATAGGAGAGAAAACTGATTTTGGAGGACGTCAAAAAGAGAATACCAGAGAGAAATAAAATTGAAGGCTGTGGGTAGATGCATGGGGGAAAGAGAGAGGAATGAATGGCTTGAGAAGAAAACGAGAAAAAGAGGTGAGTCATGCAACCTCTAAAAATATAGGAAGAGATTGAAGATGCCAGGAAGGTTATATGGCAGCAGAGAAGCTCCTGCGACTTAGAGAGTGAAGCAGGTTTCATCTATGTTAGGAAACCTAGTCAATATGGGTCCAGAAAGATTCCCCCTCAGCTATGTTCAAGCCAAAAGGTCTAGATCCTGAAAGATTCACAGCTCTGCCTACACTTTTACGCAGAAAGTCAAAGCCCTGCTTACCTAACTGAAAGTGTTGGAATAGAGCCAAGGTTATACTTAATGTTTACCAGATGGAGGAACATTATTTATGAATATGGTTTTGTAACATCTCGGGGGAAATAAGAAGATGTGAAATGTGTTTGACTAATGATACTCTTCCAATAAAGACACAAACTGAATACTGTGTGTAGTCACAATATAAATAAATACAAAAACAACAGTCTACAAATATAACAGGGACAGACAAAGTGGAGTTATTGAGTGTTCAGTATTGTCTGTTAGCAGACAATGTTAGATTATCCCTTTTTTGCATCATTTATAACATGTTAAGAGAGAAAAATATGTATTTGCTTTCAAACCCAAGGTGACTCAACTTAAATGACTCATCAAACCACAGTTGAAAGCAGCTTGATCAAATCGCACAAGGAAAGACACACAACCGGATGTTTCCTTGAACTCTTCAATACACACCGCTGAGGCGTTCATGTACCTGATGAAAAGGATCCTTCCTCATGTTGCGGCTGGCCAGCGGCTCATCAAACGGGAACACCACAGAGTAGTTTTTAGCGTACGACTCGTGGCTCCTCTCTCTGATCCACTTTGGGTTGTCTGTCAGCGAGTTATGGAAACGCCTGAGACAGGAAAGAGGCGAATTCAAAAGATAAACGCTCATTAGAAGTCACACGCATTCCAATTTTATTAAAACGTTTTTATTCTGGTTCCTGCTGTCCTTTGCTAGAATGCTAAACAGATTATTAAAAGCATGTTTCTGCTTTGTCGGGTGGCGCTATCTGTATGAAACTTACTTTGATCACTGATTATTTTTATACAGGCTTAGTGTGCATTTGATGTACCTCGCAGGTGATTCGAGGGGGGGGGGGGGGGGGGGGGGGGGTGTCATTCACATTATTAGCAACATTTTCAAAAGGGTTAATCTGCCACCCCCTCTCTCTCTCTCTCCATCCTTTAGTGGCGAAGAGGGTGCCCTTAACAAAATACACAGGGTGCAGCCCCCATTATAAATGATCCTAATGCCTACTGGATGTACCTGATGTCATAACCGTACATATCCTTCTCAGGGCGGCCATGTATGATCCAGTGAGCCAGCTCTCGTCCACAACCACCTCCCAGCATCATGCCTGACAGAAACCAATACAAAAGGGAAAGAAATGATAACACAGAAGTCATTTTCAGTTCCTTATATAAAACATTTCATAACAAAAAAAGGGCAATTTAGCTTTATCTAATATTTGAAAGTGAGGATTTGATTGAATGTCTTTGGTTTTGGATTAGGGCACTACTAAACAATAATAATGTTCAAGACCTCCACCAAGGATGGTGTGTTTTCGTCTCCATTTGTCTGTCTGCTTCTTCTTTTATCAGCAGGATTCAATGAAAAAATAATGGGCCTGAAACTTAGGTTGAATGTGTTGTTGGAATAACTGGAAATGTTGTTCCTCTACTGGGAACATTCATGTGAACGCCTCATCAAGGCATGAAAAGCGATTTATAAAGAGTTATCATATTACTATAAACAAGTTTTTGAACGCTTTGAGGAATAACATACAACACATCTTCTTTGAAGCATCGATGTTGTTTCCAAATTACGACTTAAAGCTCACAAACACAATCGGACTCATTAGAACTTCTCAATTCTAGCTATCCATTTATCTGTATTGAAATAATTGTTTAGTCGATGAAATATCAGACGAATAGAGAAAAATAACTGCTAATGAAAATGATTGTTGGTTTCAAAATCTATACCCAAATCACATCCAATTGTCACAGATTACTGGTTAGAAAATAAGATGCGAACAACATAAAGGACCTCTCACTGTCTGCCTGCCTGGAGGGCTGAGAGTATGTCTCATTAGTTTGGAAAAGAGAAGAGATGTTTTCCTCTGTAACAGCCTCTATAGGTCAGCCGACATAGAGGATGGTTTTGACCTTTGTTCAGTGATTTGACCCTCGCCTCTGAGCAATCTAACCTCATCAGTTGAAGTATGCTGTTTTTTTTTCAACCCGACCCACAAACACAATCTGACAATTCAATATTTTATCCGTCTGTTCTAAAAACAGCTGGGTTAATCTCCAGCAACCCCCTTCTTGTGTTGCTGGTCATCTGCACACACACACACACACACACACACACACACACACACACACACACACACACACACACACACACACACACACACACACACACACACACACACACACACACACACACACAACACACACACACACACACACACACACACACACACACACACACACACACACACACACACACACACACACACACACACACACACACACACACACACACACACACACACACACACACACACACACACACACACACACACACACACACACACACACACACACACACACACACACACTCCTTGCATCCCTCCTTCACCCCCATCTCCATCTCTCACAGCAGGCCCTCTCCCTTTATCTCTCATCGCTTCACTCATCTGCGGACACTGTCACTCCGGGCCAAGCCGGGGTGGATGTTTGAATGGTGGAGAGGGAGGAAGAGGGATGGAGGGAGGAGGAGGAAGGCGGTGGGGCGATGATGGAGTTCTCCCAAGACAACGTGGAGACAACCAAGAAGGCGAGGTGGCACTGATAAATGTCACCCGAGATAACTGCCCTGATGTGTGAGCGTGGATCTGCGTGTGAACCCTTACGCTGGTGCTTCCACTCATCTCATCATCCCTCCTTCCTGCCTTTGTACTCTCTGTCTGCTTCCCCGCTATCGCTATCTCGCTCTATGATTGTTCGTTTATGCTGCGCAAACATTTGTTCCTTTCCATGTCATTATATATCACCCCTTCTCCGCTCTTCTGTATTGCCCTCAGATTCTTTTTAGATAGTTGCTCTCTTCTGACATTTAAAGTGATGCCGCTAGTGATTAAAAATATGCTTTTGAAGAGGAAGCAGACATGCCAAATTGTATTTATCCTTCTCTACCATAGTACCGTAAGCACATTAAATCTCTATTTAGGACAAAACTGTGATACATTTGATTTAAATCTTTACGTGTTTATGAGTTGTAGGTCAGACATTCCAACACCTTGGACAATAAGTGAGGATGTGTTAGCATAAAGATTGCTAGTAAGGTTATGTCAAACGTTTAATACCAGCATCTGTAAAGACAACTTTTTACACAATCTCATTTGTGTAACCTGTAAAGTAAAATCAAGAAGCAACCAGACCTGTAAATTAACTCTGCTTGCCATAATGACTATAAAGGTGACTATAAGCAACTTGGTAACACATGTAAGAGGTTCAGCAGTTCAAAGCAATTAAAGAACCATAATTAAAATAAATTAATTAACTAAAAGTTCAGCATGGTTGTTTTGACACATAAATTAACTAACTTAATTTTGTCAGGTAACAAAAATAACTTTCAGTACGTAGAGTTACTGATTGCTTGGAAACTAAAATTAACATTATTAAATTGGGCGGCTGTGGCTAAGTGCTGGACTTCGAATCAGGGGGTAGCAAGTTCGAGTCCCACTGCAGTCAGCATGTCGTTGTGTCCCTGGGCAAGACACTTCACCCCAAATTGCTCCTGTGGGGATTGTCCACAGTACTGAATGTATGTAAGTCGCTTTGGATAAAAGCGTCTAACAAATGACATGTAATGTAATGTAATGTAACACCAAGATAGCCGAAACAACTGGAGGCTTTAAAAGTTATTCTGTGATGGATGTAATAGAGAGAGGGAAAAGAAAGACATTAAAGTGAGAAGGGTAGGTAAAGGACTACATGAGGAAAGGTGGACGTTTTTGAGCTCCTGCTTTGATCGGACTCTGTTGTGTTGTTGCATGCTGAATGCAGATATGTGTGTGTCAGGCAAGTGAAAGGCATTGAGAATACCCTTGCTGTGCATGGCAGGAAGAAATTCCTTATTAGAATAAAGTCACCGTTACCGATGGTGTGATAGCTGGGGGACGCTGGGCCCATTTCAATGAGCCTGGTGAAAGCTTGGCACATCAAAACCAGAGGACAAGGGGAATGCAATATTTTATCAACCTGGATTCAGATAGGAATGTGACATTTTTATTTGCGTCAAGTAGAAAAAAAATAAAGATTTACAAGGAGGGTTGAACGTCCATGTTCGATTCTGACCTTGGGACTTTTATTGTTTGTAATTGTTTTAATACAATTCCCAAAAGCCCAATCTGAAGTCAATCACTTGTTTTGTCTGGACTTAAACAACCAATCAGTTACAGAAATGTACCATAATGTCCTTGATGATTAATGATCTCATAATAAACGAATTGCTTAAATCACCTTATTCCAATCCTATGTAAAAACCTTATGCAATCTAATGAATCGAGTTATCAAAGGAACCAGCGGCTCAGGGAACGCAGTGTGTGCTCCCTGGTTAACCTGACAATGGATAACAAGTTGCTAACTGACCTACGATCAGGCTAATGGACAGAACGAGTGTCTCATGGATAAGTGGTAAGGGACTAAGAGAGCAAACAAGGAGCTTTTCAACAGCAGCAGGGATCCATCAGCAGTTTGCATCAAACGTAGAAAAAAAAACGACACTTCTGAAGCAAAAAACAACGGTCTCTCTGTTATGCGTGAGTGTAAAAGCGACTGTATGCTCGCTCATTAGCGCTCCACCTCTCGACCCCGGGATCTTTAGCTATTAAGCTTTTTCTCAAACGTCTGTTAGCACTGATGGCGATTACTTTACCCTTTACACCCCCTCTCTCTCTCTGGTATTCAGACATCTGAGAGACTTACATTCCTCCCCAGCTAATGTCAAAGGTATGCTTCCCTACATTATTCATTTGTGCCTTGAGAGTGTGCACAGAGATTGGTGAAGGCTGGGTCAAAGTATGGGTGAAAACACTCTTCGGCCGCTTCTCCTTGCTTGTTTTCCTCCCTGCTTATATTGCCAAGTACTGATGATTGCTTCAACCTTTCTATCTCTATCATTTCATGGTTCCCTTATGGAAAAGCTTTACACACTAAGTATTTGAAAGTGTCAGTCATACAGTATCTATCGTTTGTTTACAACTGTGTTCGATTTCTCCGTCCCTGCAGCACTTACCAGCGCTGTTGAAGCCACAGCCCAAGAAGAAGCCTCTGACCTCCGGGGCCTCTCCCATCAGAGGCTTATGGTCGGCTGTGAATGACTCTGAAAACAGAAGGAAGCAAGAAAAACTTTGTATGAAAGTTGGTTCATGAAAGTTGACAAATTTGACCACATATGACACATTTTTCTACTATGTGTAAAAGATGAGTGACAGCGATACCGTTTTGTCCAGGTCCCTAAAGTCTTTCCTGTGCTATAAGTTTAATAGTTGGGATTTTTTTATGTCAGCAGAAAGACTGTCCTATTTCATTACATCATTACATTGATGTGTCATCTATTGATTTTACATAAAAGTTTTAATAGAAGATCATTTTAGTTTTTTTAATAGCTACCATGTAATTTGACCTACTGGCTACAAATCAAAGCAGCATTTCTTTTACAAAAGTGGACAGGCAGGAGAAACCCATTTGTATGCAAATTACATTTGTTAAGCATTTTTATTTGTAATATTTTTATGAAAAAATGTGCTTAATATTGGATCTTTTCAATAGCATTCATATCATATGAACATATGACTGCAAATCTAGACAATATATTCTTTATAAACTGAAAAAGCAGCATACATCTGTTAATTGGTATTACATCCACGTATTCTTTTATATAAACATTTGTTTTTCATTGAAAAGTTTGAATTTCTTTCAATTGCTTCATGGTTATGTGACCAAGTGACTCCAACAAAATACCATATTGTGTTTGTACACACCTTTTTAAATATTATTTTAAGGGTTTTCCTATTTTATATGAATATTTCTATAACATTTCAGCTACTTCTTTATTGGATAGCTTTCATATCATGTGACCTTATGACTCAATATCAATGCAGGATTTGAAGAAAGCGCACTATTATGATTCAAAACTTCAAATGAAACAAAAGCCGGCCTCAAAGCGAGGGTCACTGCCAAGGAGATGCTCTGCAACAACTTTGATAAAATCCATCATTTTTGTCTCTCTTTCATCGGAGCTCTCTCCCCCTTGACTTCTGTTTTTCTCGCCACTCACTACATTTTCAACTCTCCCCTCTCCTCTTCTTATGTTTTTCTATTCCTTTAAGTATGCATCAATTTTTTCAATTGTCTTCTTCTGGTCATTCATCCCTACAATTGGTTGTAATTTTGTCTCTCGAAAACAGCTGCATCACACTATGATGATGAAAAACCCAATTCGATACTGAAACTATTCAGGCTAGCCACAGATTGGCTTACTCAACCACTTTCTAAACCTAATATTGCCTGGATAAAAACTCAGGCTCCTCTACAAATATTCATAGCCTGCTAGGTTAGATATTCATGAGCAAATACAGTACAGCGGTGCATAAGGTATTCCACAGATGGACACATTCTATTAATTTAAATGCGTCTAATTTAACCATTGAAGGTTGCTTGATCCTGGTTTTAAAACCTACTCTTGTGCATGCAGGATTTTTAATAAAAAATGATGATTTTGTGGAACTGCTGTGTGTATCTGTGTGTGTCTGTGTGTGTACTAGTACCTGGTCCACAGACGGTGGACTTGATGCCAGTCTGCTCCAGAACAGGAACTCTGTTGATGGCACCCTCAATATGTTGCGTGAATACATCCCAGTCCAGGTCAAACAGGCTGAAGGCAAAGTTATCGGACACCTGGGAAATAAAACAGCAGTAATGTACGTGAGGACTTAGTTTTCTAATTCTGGCCAAACACAAGTGTGCCATTTTATCTGCCCATGTTTGGATGTTTTTCTAAGAATCACTGTTCAAGTTAATGACATCCTGCAGGAACACAGTGATTTTCAGAAACAGGTGCTCTAGCAAGGGGGTGCATCTTCCATCAAGAAAGATCAAGAGATCAATTTTGTGAAAATGTAAATGCGCAACTGATTGAGCACTCAGAGGTTGATTACTGAGTGCATGTGTAGAAGATTGTGTATTTGTGCATTTTCTCTTCAGATTTGACTAAAACAAAGAACACAGATATAGTCCAGGCTGCTTTTAAAAACCTGGAATAACTGATTTTTTTGGCCAATTGGGGGCAGCAGTAAACAAGTTGTAAACACTGACGGGTCACCACCTTTCCCTGTAGGTCCATAACTAGGGGTGAACTCCATCTCATATTGTTATTTGGAACATCGACATTATAGAAATCTTGATTAGGTCCATTTAAAAAAAATATATAAACAAAATACTCAGGTCTAGCCGTTTGGTTTATTTCCCCACAAAATGATTCTACTCTACTGCAGTGGATGGTTGGATGTGTAATGTTGGTGCATCACCATGAAGCCAATGTCATCAAGATGTGCTCTTCCCTTTTTCTTTCTCATCACTGGTGACAAGAACACTGGGACCTTTGGTCCAAGTGACGGCATGAGCCTGTAGACCACCGACTGTGTGAGTAAGTCAGCACAGTCCTGTAGCATCTGTTGAATCGACTCTTTCCCACCAGAGAATAGACATCTGTCGAACCCCTCTCTGTTTCCTGTCCAAGCGTTAATTTACTCCCATCTGGACTTCACCTCCTTCAGCCTGGCTCAAATGCTTTTACATCTCATACTGGGCAGTGATGACCGCCTCGCCTTCAAATGTTCCCCTCCTACATTAATCTGACTGATTTAGGGTGCACAAAATAAAATTCCAGCACATCAGCTCATGCTATTTGCAATGATTTTATCAGTCATGCATATCTTCATGTACACTGGCAATGATCCGAGTACCTCTGCACTGGAATTTCAGTCATTCAGCTTTTGCATTCAGAGGGGGACTGCTTTCTGAGTCATTGCGGACATATCATACCAAATAACAGCAACTTACACCGTTAAATATAAGTTATCCTTAAGTCAGAAGCTAGGACAGGAAGGTAGAGCAAGAAAACACTTCCTATGGCTTTACAATTAGCGTCAGCGCGTTCACTTTCAATTCTGATTAAAACTTAAATGTCACAGGGATGTGCGAGCTGACAGTAGCTGCTTTCATGTGAACAAAGAATTTCCGCATTATTACCCAGGTCTGACACTCAAGCGGAGTATCTAAGGAGCAGCGTTCTTTGTCCTAGACGCCACACTTCTCTCAATGCCTCCCAAGCCATCGATCCTGCTCATCTTCACTCAGAAGGCTTTCTCTATTCTCTCCGTCTCCCTGCTAATTCTCCCTTCTGTATCTCCTCTTTCTTCCTCCATTTGCCTCAAGACATCAAAGTAACGCTCAGCTGCAGAACGAGAACAAAAGGAGCTGCTACTGCACAAAGAAATCCTCTAAAATGTAAAAAGCACTGAGGAGTCTGTAGACAGCCAAGCGGAAAGACGGAAAGTCATAAAGTCAGTGTTATTAGTGTCCCGCAAAAACCCCGTCTGGTGCCTTTTAGAAAAACCGAGACAAAATATTTACCTATGGTCAGGATATTATAATTTTAGTTTGGTTTGTTGTGGGTTTTTCAGCAGGATTATGGAAGACAACTTTCCATTTTTTTGAAAACTTAGTCAAAGAGTGAAGCATGGGTCAAGGAAGAATTCATTTGACTTTGGAAGCAGATCTGAATCAAGGGGTGGAAACTCAAATATTGATCATACGTAAAGGCCTTGACGAAGATCTGTTCTTACCGAGAGCCCTTATAGTTTTTACTATTTGGAGCTGATAATATTACAATTCAAATTAATATTTAAATATATAATTCAATATATCTTTAATTGCAGTTACTGACATGGCTAATTGTTAGAGTTGAACAGGTTAAATAGATGATAATCTTTACTTATGAATGGTCCCACAGACCCACAATTACATTGCATTTTTAGATTACTTGAGCAAAGTATTAAAGTGAAAATGTATAAGTGTTGGACACCAGGAGATGCCTGCCACCAACGCTGCCAGCCTAGTTAAAAAACTGCTCTAAAAGTCTATCCTTGAGACCAAGTACACATCCATAAAACCCAAAACCACCTGTCGTTTTAAAAGGCTTTTAAAAGACAATTTTCCAAAGTCAACGACCTCTTGAAACAGTCATTCTGTGGATAAAAGAACTGCCTGAACAATCACATTTTAGAGTTTTTGGAATAATCTTCACAGCATTTTGAGATTTCAGTCTTTTACATAAATGCTTTGGTTTTTATGTTCCAATAAAAAGCGATGTCACCATTAGTGGAGCTAAGATTAAGAGGTTTGTTGGTGTAGCTAAAAAAGAACAGCTACTGGGTCATTCAAATCAATGGGTGCATCTCCTTGGGAGGATGTGTTATGCTCATCAATCTGCCTATTCAAAATGAGATATCTGGTGTAAAAAATACTTTTTTGATAGCTTACCTTGCCAAGTATCTTTCTATAAAAACCCTTTTGTATAAAAGCTTTTCTAATGCAAATTTGATAACAAGCCCTGCTCACAGTACCTTCCAAAAACACCGAACCCATTAGGCTGTCATTAGTGCTGAAAAAAAAACTGCATGCATCTTTTTCTATTCAGCATAACAACCTTGTCTGAATGCACTGCCAGGTAATGTGTTGTACTTAGCAAACTTGCACTCTTTCTGCGTAATGATTTTGATTCAAAAAGAAAAATTTGATATTCTTTTTCCAGCACACAACTCCCACTACAAACCACACATTTCCATTGCCACATTGCTTTACATGTGTCATCCAACCAAATGAGATACATTGTTTAAATAAGTCAGCTTTTAACTAGGTAAGGCATATTTTTACTTTGGTTAAGGGCAAGGTAGCTAGCTGTTTCCCCTTGTTGAGCTACATACTTTAAAATATGAATCACGCTTATACACTTTTTTGCCAAGAGTCAGATGAGAAAATCAATAAAGCTCATATGTTTGTATTCCAAATATGAAGCTCAAACAAGAAGTCAGTTAACTTAGAGCAAAAACTGGAAACACAGAGAAACAGATTCTCAAAGAAAAAACCACAACATGACTTTTACATTTCAGTTTTTGAAATTTGATTACACCAAAAGGGGAAACATTGTTCTCTTAGTGAGCTTTATAGATTACTTAAACGCGAGCAAGGCTAGCTGCCCTTACTTCCCGTCTTAATGCCTAACTAGCCTCCATGCTACAGAGCTGAGCGGTATTACAATTTGTATCCATTTATTGGCAAGAAAGCAAAGCTCATTTTCCAAAATGTGACACATTTTCTTTTATTTACATTTGACACTTTTTTTAAATATATTTAAGAAACCATTTTAAATGCAGGACTTTTACTTGAAATAGAGTAATACTTTTTCATGATACTATGACATTGAGTAAACGGAAATTAATGTCTTCTCTTTACCACTGGTAGATTAGTGAACTAACCCTCACAGTTTATGAGTCATGTTATAAAACAGTTTGATCTCAAAGCTATTCCAGCAGCGGCTGATGAAGACAGAGAAAGAATGACAGACTTTAAAAGATGAGGTTAAACTGTCAAAGTACACAAAAGGATTTAACCTTATTTAGCTTCTTAATTAAAGTATTTGATTTTGTGTCAAACCAGACAAATGTGTGCCATCAATCTCAATCACGCACGTACTGTAGACAGTGAACATGAAGTCTCAAAGCTATTGATGTGATACGGTTAACATTTGAAATAATATGCAAGCTTACCTCATCCCAGAAGACGGGGTTCTGTTCATAACCACCCACAGAAAGGGCGTCACCTTGGAGGCGCAGGTACACTGATGCATCATGGTCCCTGACATTCGGCATGTTCTGCACAGAGCAAAGATCAAGTTGGAAACATTTAACACATGGATTAGTCTATTCATATTCTGATGTAATGACAATATGATGGGAAGATTCATATGCATGAACAAGAGGGGGATTATTTCAGTATCTAAGAAATTCAATATTTTGTTTTATAGCAGCTAAAACTGTAAAACACTGTAAACAAAAAAAACAGCATATCCTTCCAGGTAATGGATTACAATTATAGTCAAATTGGAACCAAAATTCTTGGATGACTTTATGTCAACCAACAAACTAATTGGACTACTAATTTTAACATAACTGCTTATCACAAGGAAACCGAAACAAAGTGGGGGAAATGTGCTGAAACGAAAAAGATAATTACCATGCTGTTTACCAAATTCTCTGAGGATTTCTAGTATTTTTGGTACTTTACAGAGACATACAGAAAGGGTATAAAATATGCAACATAACAACCGTAAACATTCCTAACAGCCTCAGTGCCATATACTGTACCATGACATGCCTTAACAAACCATAGAGTTTCTTTATGTATGGTATGGCAGATACTGACACACCATGAAATCCTCTTTCAAAAGGGGGAAGCATTCATCCTCCTCCAGACTGAATACATATTCTTGTAGAAGTGTCTAATGAATTGGTACACTTTAAGTATGTTGTACCCTTTGGTTTTGTATCTTGTCATGAGTGCTTGTCAATCTAAAGTCAATTGGCTCTCTCGGTACAAAAACAAAATACCAAGCTGACATTTAAAAAGAGCCCTCTACATGTAATAATATCCCAACTGCTGCTTTCCTCTCTTTAGCGCTGCTTAAAGTCAGGCAGCTTGTTGTGATCAATACACTGTCCTTCATGCACTCACACAGATAAAAACATACATTTAAACCCTCCACAGTAACTCATCTAGTCACACACAGATATGTGGTCGGCAGAGATGCTTGACCTGACAAGTCGGACACCCCGATGAGAACAGATTCTCTGACAGCAGGGCATGGTGTGTGAGTGTGTCATTCTGTGTGCGTGGGCTGATGTCTGTGTGTACATGATGTAGCAGTAATGCTGGTTAAGCTGCTCTTAAACTCTACATAACACAGAGAAGCTCTGACAGCCCCCCTAAAACCACTGGCCTCTAGAGGATGAGCACAGTTGTGTGTGTGTGTGTGTGTGTGTGTGTGTGTGTGTGTGTGTGTGTGTGTGTGTGTGTGTGTGTGTGTGTGTGTGTGTGTGTGTGTGTGTGTGTGTGTGTGTGTGTGTGTGTGTGTGTGTGTGTGTGTCACTAACTAAAACTAACATGCACTAGATCAACAATCAGAGGTACAGTGGATCATGTATATCTGCATATAGAGGCCTCCCCACGGCAATCGTTATCAGCATTAAAGTACACAAACAAGACACTATCCTTTTCCCTCTCATAGAAACACACACATCTCATTCCAGCACTCACTAAAAGCATCCTGTACCATTACAGGTGTAAACCTATTAGGTCACAGTGCCCCCTGCTGGTCATACTGACATGATACAGACAGAAGAAGGTATTCCGGCTACCACAAGGAATTAAATAATCAGAGAAATCCAAGTAGCCTTATTTTGGAAAAAGGAAAAGGCACCTTGGTTAACATACTAATACAAGTGTCTCCTATAAAATTAAAGCACAGAAATGATCATAGTATAAATTCATTTGGTTAATAAAACCCACTTTGCAGATTCTACAAGTTAAATAAAAGTAAACAAACACAAGAAGCATAAATACAGACTTGCTGAACTTTTTGGTCCCACTTTATGTGGAACAAGTTTTGTGTCAAAGAACATTGTGCTAATGGTTGTTTTATTCTTACTATGATACAGTACATCATGAACCTACTGTTAAGGAATAATTCTTCTAGATATCGAACCTTTTACTCTGACATGTGTTATCTCCTTTAAGGAAAGGCCTTGGTGCCATATGTGTTGTTGTCACCAGTGTGAGACCGGTCAACTTGACTGGCACGTAGGGTAATTGTTGTGAGAACACTGAGGCACTTCTTTATCGGTGTTTGTGGGCTCTAGGATGTGAAATCCTTGAGGCCATGAGCGTCGGACGCAGATGATTCAGTGTTTAGTCTACTCCTTCAGAGATGTTGATTTCTCTCTGTGAACCTGTTAAAAGGTCTAGCATAGAGAGAGGTTCTTCAGAATTGACGTGGCAACTCTACCGTGTGGTCAGAACCTCTGACTCTTTGATTTGTGATGTGAATCCTCCGGCCGAATACTCTGAATAAACCCATCAGTGTTTGACATCAAAGCTCCAACTCTCACCGTGTCTCCTTCCTGAGTCGGTGACTCCATGCATTACTACACAGAAGTTTCCTCCACACCTACCTGTATGCCTTCAATTCTCTCTGTCACCACATAGGCATGATGCATCGCAACAAGAGGAACCTTAACTCCAGCCATCTCTCCCAGCTTGGGGGCCCACACACCTGCATATAACACACAGAGAGAAAACATTTAATAGAAAAAGCCCCCTTTAAAATGTAGATTAACACATACACATGTTTAATTTACAAACCAAAAGCTTTTAATCTTTAGTTTGGATGAATAGTTAGGTGTCAGATTCTCACCTGCACAGTTTACCACACAAGATGTCTCAATGGTCCCATGAGGGGTCTCCACTGCCTTCACCCTCTTAACACCGAGGTCATCAGTCCGCACTTGGATACCACTCACAGGGCAGTTCTCAATCACCTGATGTAAAGAAAAACAATAAAGATAATTAATTAATCAGATTTGCACCAAGCCCTGTTTGTAGTGTAGAGACTTTCTGTACGAAACAATATCTACGTATATTCACGTATGGCGCTGTACAATAGCTGCCCACTGCTCCTAGTACTAGACTTGTGGTACTAGGATGGGTTAAATGCAGAGAACAAAGTGTGCTCTGCATGTGTGACCATTAAAAGAGGGTTTCATCCCTCCCAATTCTATTCTATGTTATCCAATGTTGCAGTTACAGCGGCAGGGGTTCAATTTACTGAATCAATCACTCTTCTCCATTTTGCCATAGTCCGCTTCATATTATCACTGTTTCTTACAGATTAGAACTACTACTACAGTATTGTAGGTTGTAAAATACTTTTCAAATGCTATACATACATGTAGTAGTTATCTGAAAGTACATGTGACCTGAGGTTTCCTGGAAAGCTGTGCAGTTTGCGTTATCATTGTGAAGTACCCACAAGTAGCTCCCTTTAAGCTTAAAGTTAGAATCTCATCACTAAAAGGCTTGCCTCTAACTAATATACATGTAAATGTAAAGCCTAAACCTACATTTTGTACTCTATTTTTAGTTTAAAACACAGTGTTTCGTTACATTTACGCATTGCTATTCAAGACGTAATATGTTCAAAGAGCAATACATGTTTAGCTGTACAAAAAGTTGCGACATGGCCTTCTACACCGCTTTCTCCTGTTCAGATAAGGGTGCTATAAAGAAAAAAGATTACTAAACGGGAGTGGCAGGTAGACGGGGTGAACTAAAGTAGAATTCTTTACCAACTTTGACAAAGATCTACCAAATTGTCCCAAACAGAAAAGTTACACCTCATTAAATTATTATTATTTCTAGCATTTCTCATCAAGCTATTTGCAGAGAGATTAGTGGGATTTTCCTCATGTGAACAATCACCATGATGTAAAACACACATCAAAGTATGCAAAACTGAACTGAAACTAAAATCCCGCTACAATTTACAAAGAATATCTAATTTGTTTGACTAGACTGCAATTACAAATAGTAACATTCACTTTAGTATAGTGATGTGACGTTCGCGAACGATCCGATTCTTTTGAGCGGCTCTTTGGTACGAACGAAGGGAACCGAGTCTGCCTGCCATAAATCCACTCGCCTTTAAAGGAACTTGCTTTCCTGAATGCAAATTTGCCATATATGATGGCATAACGCGTGCTGCTTGAGTAGTAGTTTGGCTGGCTGAGAGATGTAGCAAGTTATACATTTTCTGTGAGTAAAAGTAGATTTCTGGCAATACAGTCAATCATTATCCTGGTGATTCTTTCGCAGATAAACCTATTAACCCCGCCCCCTTAAAAAAAAACCTGCTCTTTTGAACGGCTCTCGGAAAGGAACGGAGCCATAAGATCCGGCTCCCATCAAAGAGCCGTAATTCCCATCACTACTTTAGTATACAGATATTTATCAATTAATAGAACTTGTGTACACAGCATTATAAACAGGGCCCATTACCGTGGCCCCCCTGGCGGTGGCTGCTCTGGACAGGGTGGTGCAGGTGCCTGCTGGGTCCATGGTGCCATCTTTAGGTACATAAAGGGTTCCATACAGATCATCAACGTTCATCAGAGGGTACAGGTCCTTGGTCTCCGCCGGTGACAGAACATGGGACTCGATACCATAAACGTTACCCAGCTAGAAACGAGGGGACAAGGCATGGTTCATGAATTTTCCTTTTAAGAGATGATCAGTTTAATCATGTTTATTTTACATAATATGAGAACATATTGCATAACATTTCCGGAGGCATATGGTGGAGGAGTTAAGTTACAGTAACTAGTAGCATGAGATTAATTAGATTGTTGATCTAAAATATTTGTGCTGCTTTTTCCTTGTTTCACACCATGCAATGGTTAGGTGAAGTTTACAGTGAACTTTGAACTTCAAACACACACAATCAGGGTAAACACAGCCTTATCCCTGCTCTTATGCATGAGTGTGTTGTAAATTCAGCAGACCATTAATGATATTATCTCTTGCCATGGCTTCTTTGTGCGAAGCAATATTCAGATGAATTGATTGCCAACTTGAAAAAAAGTTAAGTGAGCAAACTGCATTTTCTTTATTCATATGATATTATAATTGTTGTTCTGAATGCAACACTTCATGGAGGGTAAGTTATATTGCAGTACTTCAAATGCTGTTTCAAATGAAAACCAGTTATACGAATTCTCAGAGGTGGGAAGTAACTAAGTATATTTACTCAAGTACGATACTTAAGTAAAATGTTGAGCTACTTACTTATTTCAATACTATGCTACTTTGTACTTCGACCCCACTACAATTCAGAGGTAAATCGTGTACTTTTACAGTACTCCACTACATTTATTGAATACCTTTAGTTACTTTGCAGATTTGGATTTATAATGTGAAATATAATCAACACTTTAATAAGACTTTAGTTCCACCTGGAGTAAATTCACAAGCTACCCTGCAGTATACAAAGCCATTAAAACTAGCTGTACCTCTACCAGCTTTGATAACACTTTAATGCATCAATAATTATAATCAAAACATAAAATATACATTATTCTGAAATGGGCCAATCTGCATAATGAGTACTTTTACTTTTGGTACTTTAAGCATATTTTGATGCACATACTTTTACTTGAGTAACATTTTGATTGCAGGACTTTTACTTGTAACAGAGTATTCTTAAACTCTGGTACTCCTACTTTTACTCAAGTACAAGATCTGGGTAATTTTTCCACCTCTGCTAATTCAGCCCTAAATATTTTACCTCTAAGCTTAGCATTTTCATATTAGTGGCCAGAAAAACAAGCAATCTCACTACATACCGACATGAGGCGCTTGTACTCGTCCAGCCTTTGTTTGTTGGAGGCAATGAAGAGTCCTCCGTTCTCGATCCAGCCCGTGTGGAGGCCCGTCTCCTCCTCCAGGTCTTTGCTGATCACATTTCTGGTGTGGGCTAAGAGCTCCACCTCAACATCACTGGGACGGAGCTGCCACAGCAGGCCTAGTAAGCAGAGACAGAAAGATGTGTGTACAGTTTGCAGTTGAACATACAACTTTAAGCACTTGACGTAAGGAGAGTGAAAATACTCTGAGTCAAGTATAGAATAAGAGTGACTGGTTTAAACAGTAACAGTGAACTTAGTGTGTTACCTGCAGTGTGCCAGGTGGTGCCAGCAGTCAGTCTGTCTCTCTCCAGCAGAACTACGTTGGTCATCCCCATCTTAGCCAGGTGGTAGATGGTCTGACAGCCCAGACTGCCTCCTCCGATCACCACTGCTTCTGCTGACCTGTAGCAGGTGGCAGGAAACTACAGGTGAGTTGAAAACATGACTTTCAAAGTGGGACAAGGACAATGCCAGCCACACCACTCACTGAATCAAACCAAGTGACAAACCGTAAGGTCATTTTAGTTGAGGAAAAGTTTCTGGGGGTAACACATTGTCTGTTATGTTAAGAGTTAGCAAGAATCTGATTAGTTCAGCTAAGCATAAAGACCTGAAACGGGAGGAAATAATTAGCCTGGAGGTAACAAAGTCTTCCTAGATGCACCTTTAAAATAACAAGGAAAAAACGTGTAAAAACAGCGGCTTGTTTTATGTGGAACTTTGCCACACTAGCCTGTTTACTCCTCTTCTAGTCTTAACACTTAGCTAACTGGCTAATGGCTGCAGTTTCATACTCAACAGTGTTATCGATCTTCTAGTCATGTCTTGCCAAAATAAGCAAATAAACACATTTCCAAAAATATAGATTTATGCTTTAAAATTGTAGTTTTCTTGCCTGAATTTTAAAAGAAAAATTTAAAAGTTGTATAAACGATCTACATTTTCAGACCTGAGATCTGTTCAGGCCTTTGCGGAGGCCACCATGACTATTATTCTTACATTAACTGGTCCTATGTATATTGAGAAATTGCACAAACCCTCAATTTACCCAGATATGTGCGTATTCCTAATGCCTAATCATCCCACCATGAAGTAAGAATTTAATAAGAAGTATACTTGAAGAACAATAGAAATTATTAATTAACACAATCTATCTATTTATCCCCTGAGCTTACTTGGGTAAAGGCTTTGTTGGTCCAGAGGACTTGCCGACCTCTTGTTTGAGTGTCTTCTCATAGGGAACACTTTTTTCCGAGGTGGGCTCTGAGCTGTAGGATCGAGCTGTTGTCCGGCTCAATGGAGAGAGAGGGGGCCGCACTGCAGAGACCACCCTCCGAACTGCGCTCCCAAGGAAGGCCATGGCCCCTGTGGTCAGTCAAGGGACCTAAAGGGAGAGTAACAAGGTGTGAGGCTGCAGTGTTGTTAAGGTCAAAGTCAAGTATTTTATCATCTGTATATCCTATGACCTGTTTCATAACAGTTTTACAGTAAAACATGCGTGAACTTCATGGTTACATAAAAGATAAGCGTGTTACAACCCTTGGATCTAGATTGATGAATGGATTCAGTGATTAAGGAATGGGCACACTAAATTGTCATCGCAAGACCCAATCATATAGCTGCAGCAAATGTCTTCATTTGTTCTCGAAATAATCTTTATGTATATGAATCATATTGTTTTGTGATGAAACTTGATTTACAGGTTGCTCCCCTCAGGGTGATGCTCTAGAATGCTCCTGCCAAAGAGATAAGATTAACAAAAGGTCCTTGGGCAACAAACAACAGTACAATTAAATAAGGGAGCGTAGAATATACAGCAGGGATTTGATTGCAATACTTGTTGTAAGAATTGAGAGATATTTGTTCTGTTTTATGTGATTTTATGTGTTTTTACATTGTGTATGTTTTTGTGTGTATTTGTGTATGAAATCATAGATAATTTCCCTGCCTGGACTTATTATGTTATATACTGTATACAAATAAGTGATGACATTACACACATGCATATCCTAAATCAGAATGTTATGGTTGCAGAATATGTAACTTATTTATAGTTATTAAATATACATATGCAAATAGTGTGTACTTAGTGTGTACAAGTAAAACCATTTACTTGTAAAACAGGTGGTTTGATATAATGCACAATAGTTAAACAGGTGGTTTGAGATAATGTTATTCCAGGCAGCAAAGACTCTATAATATTCTTTGTGGACTTTAAGGTTCACAGAGCCACTTTATCAAATACAATTATATTAAGCTGTGAACAACACGGTTAATCAATTACAGCATTGTAAAAATACTGCCAAGTTAAATGCCCTCTCCTCCACACTAATAACTACTTAGCTGGTTAGTGAACTGACGATAACTAGCTGGATTACACCTGTCTTCAATATGAAGAGAAACAGGTTTTAGCTACAACCGCTACGTCCTGCGCACTGTAAAGTTATATAGCCTGTGCACAACTTGAGGATAAACACTAGCACGTTAGCACACACAAGTGCATAACAGAAAACCCATTGAATAGACTATATGCACTACATGTAAACGCTACGTCCTAAAAAATAACAACAGCCTGAACAGCTGCAAGCTATAACGTGGCACTAACGCGCCATGTGATCTCTCACGCCACAAGCATGGCATTCAAAACAGCCTTACAAAACATGCACGTTCAGTCATAAAGTAACTTTGTTGCACGAGAACACTTCGGTTTCCACCTAATATAAAGGCAGTTGTTTCCACTTACACTCGGTTCCGCCTTTTACCGACCGTCCCCGGTAAATACGATACAAACAGTTTGCGGAAAGACGGGATTTGCAGTCTTGGAAAATGTCCGAATACTTGTGCAGACAGACAGCGTTTCAAAGTGTGACAGAGGAGCTGCAGGTCAGAAAACGTGAGCAGCAGTGGGAGTGCAGTTGTACTTCGTGTGTTGACCCCTCCCCAGACATACACACACGTGTGCAAAAGGGAGCGTGCAATTTGTTCACAACCTACACAGTTGGGGAGTCAAATAGGGACAATATTGCTGATATTGGGCAAAAACATCAAGGGTGCTAGTGAATTGTCAAAGGGGGGAGAGCCTCGCTGGGGACATTCTACAGATGGCCAGTCCGCCCCTGAAAAATATCTATTCACACGTTATTATTAATAATAATAATAATACAAATAATAATAATAAATAAAGTCTTTACATTTAATTTAATTTTTAATCATCTCGCGACCCCCACTTTGGGAACCCCTGCTTTAGGAGGAGATACAGGTGATAAGGTGCCCATCTTACCACCAAGGGTGTTACCTTGGTTGGTTATTGGCTAATGGTCACACAACCCAAAAAATCGTTATGACATTGTAGCAGGCCCCACTATGCAGGGCGCGATGACAGATTATGTTCCTGTAGAACAGGAGAAATTATGAGCAGAGAATGCCTTTTGCTGCTCGTTTGGCGGGTCTTGCCAGAATTTATTCACAATTGGCACAAAACAAAACACAATTGTTCTTGTCCTTTTCCTACTCTCAATATAAACACATGTTTATATGTTCATGTCTTCAAAATATACTTTTAACATGCTTGAAGTATTCAAAATAAACACATTTGTCTATAACCAAATGTCATTAACTTCATGACTAAAAATAAGAATGTACTGTTAAGTACCTTTTCAGAATAACTATTAGCATTAGTCTAAAATGTGCTAGCATTAGCATCTTACAAGCATTTACAATAATTAAAGAACGACTGCACATAGGCTATCGATAATACAGAACACACCTTGTCATTTGGAATATTAACACTGAAAATACGTAGCTAATAAAGTGCACAGGAGCTATAAACAATTAACTTGCATTCACTTTCATCAGGGAGCGTGAGTCTACTACATCTAAATAGCAACCGCCATTATACATACACACAGCCACCACGAGGTGGTCTTACATCTAAATAGCGACCGCCATTACACATACACACAGACACCACGAGGTGGTCTTCTACGCGGAATTAAACATAATAAACAACATCTAAACATCACTTCAAACTTAAGACATTGCGATTTATAACATTTGTGACAATCTGTACACATTACTGACCTGTAGAACAGGAGAAATTATGAGCAGAGAATGCCTTTTGCTGCTCATTTGGCGGGTCTTGCCAGCCCAGAATGGCAAGCTAACGACAGCTCCGTCATCACGTCAGACATTTTACGGCAGACACGTAAATAATAACCAACCCCTTTGCGGCAGTGATACCCTGCCATCTACTGCCCCCTGCTGTCCATTGTTAAACAGGTCATATTAAATCATATTAATTATACACATACAATTGTGATTACACTTTGTGTGGGTCACACACTCCCCGACAAAGAAAAATGGCTCCCGACATTAACCATCAACCTCTTAACTTGTGCCCCTTCTCTTTGAACTTAAAACACTTATACACACTCTCACAAGGGCACTTCTTTAAATGTACAGGTGAATAAAAATATGTATGAGAGTGGGTGTAACAATCTTTCCTTCTCAATATGCATGTATGTATGGCAGCATTACAGTGTAAGGCAGTGTCTGGTGTGTAGTGTAAGGCAGTGTCTGGTGTGTAGTGTAAGGCAGTGTCTGGTGTGTAGTGTAAGGCAGTGTCTGGTGTGTAGTGTAAGGCAGTGTCTGGTGTGTAGTGTAATGTGGCATAGGAAGGGGCTGCATTCCCCAGAATGGCAGGGCTTGTACAGTATATAGTCCCGCTGGGTCTGTAGGCCCACATGATCGGGAGGATGGCTGACCAAGGGAGTCATATGTCAGCGTTTGAGGAGGTCTCCTGTCCCGTGTGGATTTCCTCACTGGCTCATCCTGAGGTGTCACAGGTCGGTCATAGCCATAGGGTACTTGTACATCCTCATGCTCTTCCGGTGCTTCAGAATCCACAGGCAGGTCTTCCTCATCAGTCCGTTCTTCTGGTGGTTCTTGTCTGGTTTCTCTCTCAGGTGTAACAACTCGATGTTGTTCTGGTATATGATATCTCAATGGCACTCTATATCTATGTGGTTCAGGTACCCTTTTCAGAACGTCTGTGTTTTGCTGAGATCCAGAGCTAGGTTCAACATTCTGTGAGTGAAGTCCAGCTTGTGGGGGTACTCTTAGCCAGTATCGTACTCTAGGTGCCTCATCATCAGAGTTTTCTGAGTCACTGCTTTGTGATGTCTCTCTCTGTCGTTGTTTCTCAACATGATGACTCTTGCTCTTCCCTCTAGGTGGTAGCAGATTTCCTGTTGGTTCAGGCAAGTTTACAGGTAGGTCATTGACAACGTGTAGGAGATTTCGATGGAGGGTACGGATCTTATGACCACCTGTCTCAGAGCACACTTTGTACACAGGAATGTCACCAACTTGTTCTTTGACGACATACACAGTTTGTTCCCAGTAGGACCTCAATTTTCCAGGTCCACCTCTCTCACTCATGTTGCGGACTAGGACTCTATCACCCGGTTGGAGCACAACTCCCTTGATGTGACAGTCGTAGTACTTCTTGTTTCTTGCACTGGAGTGTTGACTGTTTTCAGATGCAATCCGGTAAGCCTCTTTCATTCTCAGAGCCCATTTCTTAGCATAGCCCTGTGTTGTTTCAGTCTGACCTTTGGCTGACAGACCAAACATTAAATCTACTGGGAGACACGGGTGCCGTCCAAACATGAGGTAGTGGGGTGAGAAGCCTGTTGCCTCATGCCTGGTGCAGTTGTATGCATGTACAACCAGGGGTAAGTGGTCTTTCCAGTTGCTCTTTTCTGTTTCTCCCAGGGTCCTCAACATTTGGAGCAGTGTTCTATTGAACCTCTCAGCTGGGTTTCCTTGGGGGTGGTATGGGGTTGTCCTCGAATGAGCAACTCCAGCCAGATGCCTCAGGGTCTTGAACAGGTCATTTTCGAACTCTCTGCCTTGGTCGTGGTGCAACCTGGCCGGGTAGCCGAATCTTGGAATGAAGTCATTATAGATTTTTTCAGCAGCTGTTCTGCCAGATTTATTTTTTGTTGCGTAGACTTGAGCAAATCTGGTAAAATGGTCAATAACTACTAAAATGTACTCGTAGCCCCCTTTGCTAGTTTCCAGGTGCATATAGTCTATAGACACAAGCTCAAGTGGTGCAGATGAAGTGATGCTGCCCATTGGTGCTCTGACGTGTGTCACAGGTTTCTTTTGTTTGATACAGGGGCACTTTCTGGTTACATAGGTTTCAATGTCCTTTTTCATGAAAGGCCAGTAGAAACGGTCTCGAGCCAGGTGGATGACCCTCTCAGCCCCAACATGTCCCATGTCGTCATGGAGATGCTTTAGTACCAGGGGGTGGTATCGTGATGGTAAGACGAGCTGCTGCCGCTGACTGGCTGTCCGGTACAACAGTTGATTTTCCATGTGCAGTTTTCCCCACAAGTGCATGAGCTTTCTGAGCGTACCACTGGCTCTCTTCCTTTCCTCATTGGTCAATACTGCCTTTGCCTCTTTAAGTTTGATAAGCTCACCGATTGCATGGTCCTCCCTTTGGGCATTGACTAGCTCACTGTGGTCAATGGTAAGGGGTGACACATTCACAGGTGACTCTGAGCATGAAGCTAGGTCCAATGCAGCAACATAAGCAACATCCTGCCTCTTTGCAGACTCACAGCCATCCCATGTGGTTTGGATGGTTTCTCTTGTGAGTTCTTCAGTACACTCTCTGACGTAGGTGTCAATGTCAAGAGGGAGACGAGAGAGCGTGTCTGCGTCTATGTTCACTCTTCCTGGCCTGTATTTGACATCAAACCTAAAGTCTGCTAGCTCACCTACCCATCGGTGGCCCACAGCATTCAGTTTGGCAGTACTCATCATGTATGTGAGGGGATTATTGTCTGTGTATACTGTGAAATGGGGTGCATAGAACAGGTAATCCCTACATTTCACACATATCGCCCACTTAAGAGCAAGAAACTCGAGTTTCCCTGAGTGCATGTTGTAATTCTTCTCAGCGGGAGACAGAGTTCTTGAACCATAGGCGATGACTCTCAATTTTCCATCCTGTCGTTGATACAACACAGCGCCGAGTCCCTGCTGAGAGGCGTCAGTGTGAAGCACAAATGGCAGTTCGAAATCCGGATAGGCCAACACAGGTGGGTGTGAAAGTGTGTCAATCAGCTGTTCAAGGATCCTTTGGTGATCATCAGTCCACAGGACAGGTGTCCTTGAGGGCAGCTGAGCTCCTTTTCCAACCTTATGTTTCCCCTGGGTCACGGTAGAGCTTCCTTTAATTTTTAACAGATCATAAACTGGTTTGGCAATGCTTGAGAAGTTTTGAATATAGGCTCTATAGTAGCTTAAGAAACCCAGTAACTTCCGCACTTCTCCAACTGTGCTTGGCCTCTTCTCTTTCAGGGACGTGATGGCATCAATGTCTTTTGGGTCAATCCTGACACCGTCTGCAGAGACCAGCCTCCCAACATACCTGACCTCTTTCTGAAACAGCTCACACTTTGTTGGTCTAAGCTTGACACCATGGGACTGCAAGGCTCTCAGGACTTGACGTACTCCCTCAACATGGCTAGTGAAGGAGTCGGAGTAGCAGAGGATGTCATTGAGGTAAGGGATACAGCAGTTGTCACGCAGAGAGTCCAACATTTCCTCCATGCTGCGCTGAAAAGCAGCAGGGGCGTTGGAGAGTCCAAAAGGTATCCTCACCCACTCATACAGCCCCCAAGGGGTGATGAACGCCGTCATGTGTCTGGATCCTTCAGCAATGTAGCCCTGGTGGTAGGCCTTGCCTTGGTCTAAAATGCTGAACCAGCTGTGGCCTTTTAGGGTGTCGATGAGTTCCTGGATACGAGGCAATGGGTGACGGTCTGGTACTGTTTTCTGGTTTAACATTCTATAATCGATGCATAACCTTAGGGACCCATCCTTTTTCCTGACGCAGACTACAGGAGCTGAGTACGGAGATTTGGACTTAACTATCCACCCTTTTACAAGCAGGTCTTGGATGTACTCTTTAACCTCTTTATAAAGGGGCTTGGGCACTGCACTGTATGTGCGCTGAACTGGGATGTTGTCCTTTAAGTTGATGGACATTTGCAGGCTGGGAATGCAACCTATGTCCCCATCATCTTTAGCAAAGGCTGCCGATTCCTCGTGTAACATCTGTTCCACCTTCATCTGTTGCTCATCACTCAGGTGGCTGACATCCACAGGTGGGTGCCACAGTGCAGAAGTGGATTTGTCACTGTTAGAGTGTGGTGATGTGGAAGAACTGGCTATATTTGCCTGGGCTTGATTGTCCTTGCTGCTTGGGTTGTCTGTCTCTATCACTCTATCAATGGTTTCGATGTTGCCTAGAACAGTACAGCTGGGCAGAGTCACAGCACTTCTGGAATGGTTTGACACAGGCACCTTTACGAAAGGTCTCTCTGTCTGTTGGATCGCCATTAGTCCTTCTCCAACACTCAGCTGTGCCAGTGGTGTAGCTTCTAGATTGGGTTCGAAAAGCACAAGTGAGTCGGATTCACTAATATCTACTGGTACCCTGCACTTAATATAAGCTACCTGGCCAGGATAAATAGTGACTTCTTTCCTGCCTATCTTTACTGCAGCACTCTGTTGTTCCTGTTTTTGCTCAGTCTTTATGAAACTCACCATAGCTTCTGCCATAGCACTGTCAGTCTCCAAAGCACCAGTAAGCAAGTTGACAAGGATAGATATCACTTTGGGTCTACTTTCATGACTCCTAAAGAGTTCCTGGATGACATTAAAACCAACTATTGGTCTGTCTATTTTTATTC